CCCGTCCCCATCTACGCTCTCTCTTCGATTCAAATCTCGATCTCTGCTGCGGCGGTGGTAGCGGTGGCGGACGGCGTCGGCATCGTTGCGCGTGCTTGTTTTGTGGCTGACCTGTTGTAATGGCGGGGAAGAAGATGGTGGCGCTTCTCTTCGTCGCCGTCTTGGTCGTCTTCGGAGCGGATCAGGTGAGATCTGACGCCTCCGATCACCGATACAAAGATGGAGATCAGGTGCCTCTTTATGCCAACAAGGTTGGCCCGTTTCACAACCCGAGGTGAGCAGGACTTGTTTCTCTCTCTCTCTCGCGTCCATTTTCTAGGGCTTACTTGTTTCCGATTTGTTGTTGTTTTCTTACCTGGATCCAAGTGAGTTCCTAGATGCCTCAAGCGCAATTCCCTCTTCAATTATCTGTTCAAGTCGATTCGCTCATTTATTTCGTTGGTTTTTAGTCGATTATTAGAAATTGAGTATGTGTTCGATGAAAATTTTGCTTCCATTTTGTTGTGTTCGTACAATCTCGATATATGCGAGTGTGGTGGTGGAGAGCTCTGGATCTAGTTTGCTGGTGTTCAGTTTTGCCATTTGGTTTCTTGATGTCTTTCTTCCGGGGTGAATGTCAGCTGTTCTGAAATGTAACAGTTAATGGGCGGATCTGGATATATCAGAGTTTTGAGATAATCGGATCCTTATAACAGTTTATGTTTCTTATATGACAATATAATGGAGTGTCCAGGTTAATCAAATTGTTTGGCAGTGGTTGAAGATTAGAGTAGGCGGGGATTATGTTGTTGGATTGGCATTTCTTATCTTTATACATGGGTTATTAAAATTCTATCATTTCTTGTCTCATTTCAGTGAAACATACCGTTATTTCGACCTTCCATTCTGCTTCCCAGGTTTGCATCTGGACTAGTGATTTCAGTGTCGCTGTGTTTTTTCTGATTAATTAATGGCTGTTGAATCTTATTAACTTCATTGCATGGTTGGTCGTGTTGGCAGCGCATATGAAAGAGAAAAAGGAGGCTCTTGGTGAGGTACTTAATGGGGATCGTTTAGTTAGCGCTCCATACCAGCTCGATTTCCTTCGGGAGAAGGACTCTGAAGTTGTTTGCAAGAAAAGGCTTTCAAAGGAAGAAGTGGGCCAGTTTAGAGCTGCGGTTAAGAAAGATTATTACTTCCAGATGTATTATGATGATTTACCCATCTGGGGTTTCATCGGCAAGGTTGACAAGGAAGGGAAAGACCCTAGCGACTTTAAGTATTACCTTTTCAAGCACATTCACTTTGATATCTTTTACAACAAGGACCGGGTGATTGAAATTAATGTCCGAACTGATCCAAATGCTCTTGTGGATGTCACCGAAGACAAAGAAGTTGATGTTGAATTTTTATATACCGTAAAATGGAAGGAAACCAACACTCCTTTCGATAAGAGGATGGATAAGTATTCTCAGTCTTCTTCATTGCCTCACCATTTGGAGATCCATTGGTTCTCAATCATCAATTCCTGTGTCACGGTTCTACTTCTTACTGGCTTTTTGGCTACAATCCTCATGAGGGTATTGAAGAATGATTTTGTCAAGTAAGGCCAGCTCCTTTCTTCAGTTCCTTGTTCAAGCAAGTTTTTTTCATTTATCTGTACATTTCCTTTCATTTATTGACGAACCAAGGTATACATGACCTTGAAATTAGGTACGCCCATGATGAGGAAACTGCTGAAGACCAGGAAGAGACTGGTTGGAAATATATTCATGGAGATGTGTTTAGATATCCAAAGTACAAGTCCCTATTTGCAGCATCCCTCGGCTCTGGAACCCAATTATTCACTCTGTAAGTGACATGCTGATATTTTCACCTTTGGGTGCTTTGTATGTGCTAAAGGTGGATCAGGGATTTGTACTCATTTTCTTTGTTTGTTTAATTAAATACAGGACTGTGTTCATCTTTATACTGGCATTGGTTGGGGTGTTTTACCCCTACAACCGGGGGGCCTTGTTCACTGCGTTGGTTGTCATCTATGCTCTCACATCAGGAATTGCTGGATACACTGCAACTTCCTTTTACTGTCAGCTTGAAGGAACTAACTGGGTAAGCAGTTATCCTTGATTTTGTTTCTCTACCTTGATTTTGTTCACGGTAATCAAACCTCTTTTTTCGGCGCCTCATTTCTTACTTTATGATTTCAGGTTAGGAATCTGTTGTTGACTGGGTGTCTCTTTTGCGGGCCTCTTTTTCTCACCTTCTGTTTCCTAAACACTGTTGCAATTGTCTACACTGCCACTGCTGCTCTTCCTTTCGGAACAATTGTTGTGATAGTGCTGATATGGACACTTGTGACGTCTCCTTTGCTTGTTTTGGGTGGAATTGCTGGGAAAAACAGCAAGGCTGAGTTTCAAGCTCCTTGCCGTACTACTAAATACCCCAGGGAGATTCCTCCGTTGCCATGGTACAGGGGTACCATTCCGCAGATGGCTATGGCTGGATTTCTGCCTTTCAGTGCTATCTACATTGAGCTCTACTACATCTTTGCCAGCGTCTGGGGTCACAGGATTTATACAATCTATAGCATCCTGTTCATCGTCTTCATTATTCTCCTGATTGTCACTGCTTTCATTACCGTGGCATTGACCTACTTCCAACTTGCTGCTGAGGATCATGAATGGTGGTGGAGGTATGCAGTTTGTTAATTTATCCACTTGCCTCTCATTATAAGCTGCAAATAGATCTTTTCTCTTTTGTTTTACTTTGGTAGTCTCCTGATTGGGAAATAACTGAGAAATCTAAATATTTCAAATATGTTCTGATATGTTCTTAGTTCTTAAGAGAGTGCAGGCCTGTGATACATTGCATTATTATATGCTGCAATGTCTCCAAATTATAGCTTTATGGTTAGCTGCTGTGAGTGATGCTCCTCATCTCTGTCTCGAGCTGGGGAGGGACAATTTTGTGCATAATTTGGTTGTAGAAAACCGAAGTCCTGACTTTTAAGTGACGCGCACCTTAAGAGAACGAACATGATTATCAAGATGCATGACTGTACCATCAAAAGTTGTCTTTATTGCTCCAAGTAACCACAAGGAGCAACTCTTCTTGAATTTCTTTCCAGGGCTCTGAGACCTGTTTATGTACAGTTGCCTTCGTTCTAAGTATTATTTGTTTTTTATTTGGCAACAGGTCGTTTCTATGTGGTGGATCAACTGGGCTCTTCATCTATGCTTACTGCCTCTACTACTACTATGCACGCTCTGACATGTCGGGCTTCATGCAAACATCGTTCTTCTTCGGTTACATGGCCTGCATCTGCTACGGTTTCTTCCTTATGCTCGGAACTGTGGGTTTCCGTGCTTCACTGCTTTTTGTTCGTCACATCTATCGATCCATCAAGTGCGAGTAGAGGGAGAGAAGAAAGTTAGTAGGTGGGGTTTGACAACAAGTAAGAGAATGAAGGGTTCCTTAGGTAATGTTTGTCTGTCCTATTTTTTCTTGTTAATTGGAAGGGGATCGCAATATGTAGAGGCTTTTCTTTTGGTTCACAAATGATTTTATTTTTGTAGTCCCTCTTTGTACGAAGAAAGCGGAAAGAGCAGATTCATTCGAATGTGTCTGCTATCTAGAGAAATATGGTTTTAGGCTAAAAGGATCTTCATCTTTGCTTAGTGTTGCCCAGAAAGTTTGTATCATCATCTCTTTATTCGGACTCACCCTACAATACACTTTTCTCCCCTTGTTTCTTTCTGTTTGCCATTGTGTTCCGAAGTATATGGTTTCTTCTTGTCTTGCTAGATATGATTCTTGGCTTGCATTTTCATGGCAGATTTGGAATGAGTCATTAGTGGATGAATTAGGATTAAGTCAACATGGTTATTTTCTTCTTGTGAGTGTGGCAATCTGTTTGGCTTTGAACCTCGCAGTCTGTCTTTGAGATTACTTTTAGTCTCAAGTGATTTAAGTACCCATTTACTAGGTTGTGGATGTTGTAATTTCTACATTATTACTAGATCAATCTTCTAAGATTTTATCTTAGACTTGACCACTGATCCGCGTTTGATGAAGAAGTTACTTCAAAAACCTTTGTATAGTAACTAATTTAACAGTTGGGTTATGCAATTATGAATCGTGAGGTGATTGCGGGAGAAGAACCATGTATACAAAGCGTCCTTTCAACTCTGTATACATAAGCAGTAACTTGATGAAGTCATTGTAATTAGTTAGATGAGTTAATGTTTAAGTTTGTCACTTGTGACTTGACGGCTTTATATTAGTTAGTTTGATAGCTAGTTAGTAGCCTACCTTTACTGTACGGTTAATTGCCCGAAATTTGTCTTAAGAGCCTCAGCTCAACTCAAACAATACTTTAGGGTTATTATTTGCTTACTTTATTTAAGGGTAAATGTCACATTTGGTTACTGGGATTACTAAATCGTGTTATGTTTAGTCACTAGAAAAAATTAATATCAATTTTGGTCACTCGAATTACTAAAATAGGTCACATTTAGTCACTCTTTCGTTAGCCTCCGTCCAATTCCGGTCACTCGATTCCCTAAAAAAAAAAAAAAAAATCCGGTCACTCGAATTACTTTTTTTTTTTGGAATGTCACTCAAATTACTGAAACATGTCACATTTAGTCACTCTCTGTTAGTCTCCGTCCAACTCCGTTGAATGGAGTTGGACAGAAATGAACGAGAGAGTGACTAAATGTGACATGTTTCAGTAATTCGAGTGACCAAAAATTATATTAATTTTTTCTAAAGACTAACCATGACATAATTTAATAATCTCACTGATCAAATCTGACATTGACCAAAAAATGTAGACACCCTTTACCCTACGTATTGTTTGTTAATTTCTTTTTAAATGAGTACTTTTTTATGACTCATTTGTTTAATGCGATCATTTTCCTTTACATGTAATATGTTTGATTTTCTTGTTTCTAATCCTAATAAAATCAACCTCTTTGTTCAAGATATTATAGATATTATTTTTAAATTGGAATTTGGTGACACGATTTGTAATATAGACAAAAAGCAGACAAATATTTATTTTGATAATTGTTAGTTATCAAAAGTATAAGGTATTGATTTGTTAGTTACCTCAAATATAAGTGACTGTTTGGTCAATTGACCCTGTGCTTTGGTAATTGCCTAATTGTATGTATGTCACAGACGAATCGGGTTGTCCTCTCATCCTTATCCGCCGGCGTCAATTGACCCAGTGATTTTGCAAAGACTCAAACGGCGAGTAACAAAGGACGACTCAGAACGCAAGTAGTGCGGAAGAACTGAAAAAATAGCGACAGAGGATAAAACAGAACCGCACTTTCTGATGCTGCGACTTAAAGAAAAATGAGTGGCTGAATGTGACCAGAAATGGCTACTGCTGCTCTCACCGTTACCGCCTCTTCTTCTTCTCCTCATCTGTCTCCTTACACCTTCCGGCCATCCACCGTCACCATCGTTCACAATCACGCTTCTTCTCCGCCTTCGGTGTCCCGAATTCCGGCGAATTTAGAGGTTATTATCTCGCCTGCGCGCAGGAGTAGGCTAGGGTTGGCTCTTCGTACTCATGCTGCAATATCAGCACAAGGCCACCAAGGTGCATTGCTCTCTCAATCCCTCCTTTGAGTATCAATTGGTCCTATGGCTTTTAACCTGTTCAGTTTTTGCCTTTGCTTGTCAATGTTCAGGCACATCTGATCCTGAGCTACGCTCGGTTCTTGAACTCGCTACAAACTCCGAGTTGCGCGAGCTGGACAAGGTTTTATTCGGACCAAGGTCATTCCTTTTGAATTTTGTCTTTCAGTTCCAGCTTGCTGTGAAGTGTGACAGTGTCTCATTACTTTAACTCGATGATATTTCAATGCTGAATCGTCCTTTCATGTACAGTTACTTCAGTCCTCTGTTGAAATCTGTGATGAAGAGACCCGAAGTCGATTATACGATGATTGAGGAAGACCTCGCGGAGCGAGAGGACTTCATTGCTGCTCTTGAATCGCGGTTTCTATTCCTTGCTGCCGATGCCCGCTCCACTTTGAGGTTGGTGAATTTGATTGTGATCTTGCTTTTCTGAGTTTCGACATTGCTATTCTTGATGATTGTGTTGCTAGACGCTGACATTAGGATTGAACCAATGATGGTTATGTCTCTGATAGGCTTTCCAAGCTTTAGCATTTTCAGCTGCCTGCCATGTTAGGCCTTATCATGGCCACGTTGCTCCTTATTAGGCAATATGACAGAGCCAATGTTCGGTTTCTGACATCTTGTATTGGTGTTCTTGTGGAAGGGGTTGGAGGCCTTCATATAGAGACGTGTTGCTGAAAGTGAGGAAGAAGTTAAGTGTCTCTTGCTCAACCAAGTTGTCAACCGAAGATCTAGAAGCAGAAGTTTTTCTTCATCTGGTTAACAATTTTGCAAGGTACGCATTTTCTGTTGAAGAAAGTAAATGTTTGTTATAATTATTGACCGAGATGAAGATTAAGATTAATATACTTTACACTATTTCAAGTAAACTCAAGAAAGTTCAAAGAGAGAACTGGTCATTGGAATGAGCCACACGGATTGCTGAGATTAGAAGAAACTGGATATAAAAAGCAAAAAAAGAAGAGAAATGTGCTTTGGTTTTAAATCTAAACAGCCAGTTACTTCTTCTGCAGTGAAGAATCAGGAACTTTTCCAGGTTTATGGGAATTATCGAAGCCTTTGGATAGCGAAGAGGGTGTAGAACTTGGATTGGATCAATGGAAGGTACAAGGGCTTGGTGCTCTGAAGCATGTGGTTGAAGAGCTCCAGCCAATTATCTTGAAGGTCTTTCCATCTTGTGCTTGCGTTCCACAGATATATTGCTCCCATATTGGTACTTTTGATATGTTCATTCCCCTACATCTCACTTTCTTTTATGGTCGGACAGGGTGGTAGTGCTCTTACATTGTCAAAAGTTTATCAATCGGTAAGGTTTAAACATTTTCTTACTTCGAGATGCATCCTTGGCATTATTTCATGATTTATAGCTATTTTGCTTTGTGCTAGATAGCTGGTAAACTAATGGGCAAGGTGGTTCTGGATGCTGCCAACTATCAAATAAAAAAGGAAGTCTTAAAGAAGGTGTGTTCTCAGCATTAACTTACCTAGAAAGCATTTTAAAACTAGGAATGTGCCGGTCAATGTTACCGTTTCATCAGTGTGAATCTGAATATATTTAGCAATCACATGGTTTTGGAAGTTTGCTTTCTATCAGGCTACAACTTAGATACATCTCTGTACATTCAACGAAATGCTACAATTAGATAAGAAATTAATAAGGTTCCCCTCATTTATCGATTCACAGGGTGGACAATTAGCTGCAATGAATTTGGAATCTAGAGCAGCCTTGATTATGGCAAAGCGGGTAACTTTTATTATGTTAATTTCCTTAGATTTTTTGTACCAATATTTACCATACAATTTGTTGAATTAATGTTCCGTGAATCTTTCCCTTAAAAATGTTATGTGAATCTTATAAGCAATAGAATCATAGGTCTAGTCTTCTAGACAAATCGTTAAGCTGTGTGCTTGTCGAAGTTTGTGCTCAGTATCCCCTTTGGTTGGACTTTTTCCTTGCGGAAGACTTCTTTGTCTTCTGCATTCTGATTTCTGTTGTTGTACTTAATTAGTTGGTGCATATCTTCTCGATCTAATATGTCGAACCATTCACAGGGTTTGGCTGGAACTGCATCAAGATATCTGGGCCTTAGAAGCATGATGTCATTCCTTGGCCCAGTGTACGTGAAAGTTTTCTTCTTTCACCTAGTGTTAGTTTGTCAGGTTTAAGTTTGTACGGAAAAAAACTCTGTTGGCGATTCCCTATAGAAACTGACCATGAAATTTCATGTTTTCTCTTAAATTGCTTGCTTAACATCATCCAGAGAAATGTGAGAATGTTTTTTTTGCTTTGATCTGAATTGCTGGCTGTCTTAAATACAGGATGTGGGGAACCTTGCTGGCTGATGTCGTCATTCAGATGCTTGGCACCGATTATGCTAGAGTCCTGCCAGCAATTTACGCGTTTGCACAGGTATTCACAGTTAAATTTAGGAATCTGTTTTTAACTCAGGCTGTCTGATTAGTTCACGGAATACAAGAATCATCCCCTAATTGCTTGAAAATGCTGTTCTGACTCGGGCTGTCTGATCTGCTTTGACTCGGGCTGTCTTATTCATTTTTGGTTTCTGTATTGGTTCTAAAGAAAGCTGTTTTTTTTCTTTAGATTCGTCTCACCCGCACGTACAGGCCACAGAAAGATGGTAAACAATGCAGAGGTGAACCATTATAAGAACGTCAGATTCACAGATCGGACAATCGAATCACATGTGGTGCCCATTTCCCAGATATGCTTTGCGCTCTGAACATGCCAATCTTCAGGATACCTGAGAATTAGTATCTTGGGGAGATTTTCCGTCTGGAACTGGAGCTATGGTTTCTGCGGTCTAACCGGTTCGGGCTTCAGAGTCTACTTCTTTCTGTGGTTTGTGGGTTATACGAGGGCACCATTTCTGACTGGTGGTGGGACTGGATCCACAGCCACCATGCGGGGAATTGTTGATGATGTTTCTTGCTTTCTTGTATTTATCCAGAAGGATGGTGAATGTGTATAGTTCCTCTCCTGTGGTGAATCCGTCGGGCTGGGTGCCCGTGTCCGACAGCTTACGCCTGAAAGGCCAAGGATTGTAATTTCTTTGATCTCTCACTACATAAGGATCAAGATCAAATAAACGTTCATTCTCATTCTGTCGAAAGACAATCCATTTTGAGCCTTTCAATAAATAATGAGCAAGTTAAAAGCAAATTCTTTAGTTCAAATCTTTCGGGTAAAAAAGAAAGTAGGATTCCGGATTATTCAAAACTAAATCGAGTCATATGTACGGATCATTGTCATCTCATATATCCTGAGACTAGAGTAACTTCCATTTTTATGCGACGTCCTGTGAGAGCTTTTTGACAGGTTTGGGCGGATAGCCAGAGCCAAGTCATCAACCAACAGATTATTTGGTGACTTCCAAGTTCGTGACTTGAAGAAAACAGTCAATCACTTCAAAAAACGGTCTAATGGATAACACATTTATCTTGTTGCAATGGGACTCCAGCACTACAAAGGAAATGAACAATCAACCTCTTTTAATAGGAACGTTTGGATTTGTATTACACAAAATTTTACGTATTTACATAGCGTCTTAATAATTATAAAACTTAAGTAATATGTTTGTTTAATAACCATGCAATAATTATCCCTCCATAGAAGTCACTGTTGCATACGATTTTTTCTCCATTAATTCACTATTCATTATGAGATCCTATATTGCGTAGATAATTAAAAAAATCAAGTTATGAAAAGTATTACATTCAATTAAAATATTATGTAGAATTTATTTGACCTTACAAACTCTTTGAATAATGCAAATTATGAGATGATCAATGCAGTCAAAATCGAGATTTTACCTAAAATTGAAAACTAAGGTAAAATTAGAATCGTAAAATCGTAGGATTTTAAGTACCATATATAACATATAATAATATTAATAACATAAAAACCCCTAACATTTAAAATAATGATTATTAAGATTAAACTTCATGAGTAAGAGGATAGAGCTTATGAGGTTTGGCTCTTGTTTTCATTTTGTGTCTTGCTAGTAATATTCCGACTTCATCTTCTAAGTATGATTTAAAACTAAGAATAATATAACTCCAATAAAATAATTAATGTTAGTAGCTTGGTACAAATATATTCATTAATAAATTAATCATATAATAATGATTGTTAATTCTTAAGTACTTCCAATATTAGCTAGGACAATTGTTTTACCGATGAGTTACACGGTACGAAAGGAAATGGATTGACTGAGTAATAATTTGGTTATTTTTTATTTTAAATGTTTTTTTAATATGAAAAATATCCTAGAAGATCCCCCGTCATTGTCCTTTCTGCCGAAACAATTCTGGTTCTTTTAAACTTGCTCAAACCACCTATTTTGTTCTCATACGATCAAAATCCCGATTTAGGTACGATTTTATGATTTTAATCCCGATTTTAAACGATTTTAAGGTCCACTGATTTTATAGTAAAATCATAATCAGAATCCCTAAGTAACATCCTAAATCCTACGATTTTACGATCAAAATCCTACTATTTTACGATCAAAATCCCTATTTTGACTGCATTGATTACAACACTTACACAACAATAACATATACATATTCATTCAATATTTTTGAATTTAAACAATCTTTAAGAGAGGCAGCTAAAAAAACTTTCCCCGAAATAAAAACCTATATAGTAATAGAGGCACCAATTACACATAACATATCATAAACCGAATTTCGCATCCCACATAAGTTTAGAAAGTTTTCTTTTTTCCAAGGAAGCCAAAAAGTTCAATTCAGTTGGACCCAAAAGTAACAGAAAAAGGAGTCAATTGTAAAATTTGAAGGAAAAAAAAAAAACAGAGGAAGGCATACGGTAATTAAACAGAGTGCTAGAGTGCTAGTAATCCCAAAATGAAGATTGAAGAAGGTGAGGGAAATGGAATGATGTAAATTAAGCCGGAAATTTTCATTTTAATACCTATCGTTAAGTTTAAGGATGAAAATCATAATGGTGCAACCGGAAGTCGGCTTGGATGGTTTATTTGCAACTAAAAAAATTTAAATGGTTAGTATGCACACCAATATTTATGTGGTAACCAGTGCAATTAAGCCTAAAATGTGAAAGAAAATGTACATGAAATATATAAGATGATGTGACTAAATATTGAAGCTATCGATCAGAGCAAATTAAAGAATATATTTCAGTCCTACTATGACCTGTAGTCAGGTCGCCACAGGGCAGGAGAAAATAGGTGCTTGATGATTTCCAGAGCGGTGAAAGACTCATATGGCGTTAGCTTGTCAAAAGCTTGACAATTCCAAGTATAAACATTAATTTAATCGATTGCAGCTCAGCAATCCCAAAGTCAACAAAGGGAAATCCACTCAGGGGCAGCTCTTCCTTGCTTTTTCCAATTTGGTATCAGCAGGCAATTCAATTGAAAACAATGAAATGCAAAATTTGGTGCCTTGGCAACTAAGGACAATATTCATCCAGAGAACAGAACAACGCTGGTTGTCGCAACAAAGACTGATGGGAGCATCTCCAACTGTCCAATCTTGGAGCTAACTAAAGACACTGAAACCTCAGCCCTCAGTCTCACTACAATACTGTTCCTCATTGGCTAAATCACCAACATTGTACAATGGCCTGCAGGTTCTATATAAACTGGTAGTCATCTTCCCACTGAACGATCACTGCAACTAAACAGGGACAGAAAACCCAGTTGAGAGAGAGAGAGAGAGAGAGAGCAGTAAGACGATTACATTACATACCTATCTTTTCAAAACCCAAAATGGCTTCACAACGCCAATGGACCGTCGTCCTGGTTCTGAGGCTCAGCACTCTGTTCATTCTGGTAGCCTCTGTTCTTGTTCTGGTCTTCAACACCGTCAAAGTCCCCTTCGATGTCAGGAACTTCTCCCTCGACGAGTTCAATCCCACCAAGCTCACTTTCAAAGACCTCATCGCTTTCAAGTAGAGAAAATTTACAGTTTTACACCTTATGGTATTTTTTTCTTCTTCCAAATTTCAGGTCAATATTGTACCCATCATTTTCCCCTCCTGTGGATTTAATGCAGGTACTTGCTTGCTGTTGCCATTATCGGAGCGGTCTACACGATTGTTCAGCTGCCTTTGGCAATCTACCACGTAGCCACCGGAAAGAGGCTGTCCCGAAACGACTGCATGCCAGAGTTCGATTTCTACGGCGACAAGCTGGTGAGCTACCTGCTGGCCACGGCGGTGGGAGCTGGGTTCCTGGCGTGCGCGGATCTGAAGGTGAACCTGGATAAGATGTTTAAGACGCTTGAAGATGCAAACACAGCAGGGCTGGGTGATTCCAGGGAGAACTACGACAAGTTCTTCAACATGGGGTTCTTAGCAACCACGCTGCTTTTCTTGGCTTTTGTTTGCATGGCTGTCGTCTCCGTGCTCTCTTCGATTAACCGCAACCACGATAAAACTAGGTCCATCTTTGGCTGAGAGTGTCTTGAACAGCGGCATACAGAGTTGGATCAGGCATAAGTCTAGGTTCTGCCTGGGACTTGAGATGCTTTACATTTAATTTTTCTTCCTGCAGTGGCTTTGAACATTCCATTTCAGTTTGTTCCTTATAATGCAAGATTTGAATCTTGATGAATTGTATGTTCTTTATTACCATTTTTTCCTTTCTTGGTATTGTATTTTCTTGATTAATGAAATAAGAAGAAAAGAGAAGAATTTGTTCAGGATTATTCCCCAAACACGAGCATGACTGCTGATTAGACATTACAGACAACAACGTATCAGCTTGCATTACAAGTTTACAACTTACCTCTTTATGACAATGTACAATGATCAGATTGCACAGAAACAGTTTCCCGAAGCTCGAACATGGCTCCAGCCCCAATTCCTTTTCTGGCTTTTCTGATCAACCCAAAGCTGATCCTCCTAGTTCAAGCGACAACAAATTTACTTCAGAGGTAGGCAAGTAGGAATTTATTATGGGCAGAGGAAGAAGACATGAAGGTCAGGGTTCTGGAAAGTGAAGATATGGAATCTAAAGCCACTTTCAGCATCTTCTGTGGACAACCTGGTCTCGCCATCTCTTTTACCTGAGACCAACCATCCAATGGAAATCGTCGCAGCTGCTGCTTCAGCTTCCTGGGCAACTGACAATCACAAATGGTGAAGCTTACTACACCTACATAAAACCGGATTCCCATTTAAGGGTAACTATAAAGAATGAAGACCAGCAGCATTGAAGAAGTGCAAAGATTCTAAAGAAACGATGGTCCGTGGCATCGCCATTGGATCCTTCCTTTCTAGTATATTTCTATACTTCATAGTTTCTTGGGAAAATGGCAAACCAGATGACCTACCAGTTGCTAGATTCTTAGACGGTGTAATAGGTTTGTCTACCACACTACAGGAGTAAAAGACTGACCAATTGCGATGAAAAAATAAACTGTCGATTCCATAAAGGTGTTTTTGCTTCCCTGTCCATACCCTGGTCACCAAATTCTTGTTTCCCACTTGTACAATTCCAAAGCGTATTTGCCAGCTACCATTCTCAACAACGTTTCTCAGCCCAATGTTCAGTCGATCATAAACTGAACAACGGAGAAAAGATTCAAACTTTATTTCTTCCCCTAAAACCTTTCTTTCGTCCACCTATTAGTAAGAATCGTTTTGAAACTTCAACAGGAAGGGAGATTTCAGCGAACCCAGAAAAAAATGAAGCTAAAAATGATCAAACGGTGGATAGGCTTGAGTACCTTCGACGAATCAGTGGGCACTTCCAAATTCAACAACAGAATTAGGAGCTGCGGATACATATTGGTGACACTCGTGAGCGAAAAACAAATAGCGGCCAGCGGTGGCGGGAGGGAGGGACCAATTCATTCCCCGGCGAGGCTACGAACGGAACTGAAAGGAACCTGAATCTAATAGGAATCCTCCCCTGTTCGCTTTTTTATGTCTGATAGGCTATCGTCAGAACGTTCTTGTATTCTCAAATAGGTCTGTGAGGACAATTGAGGGGGGGGGGGGGGGGATGAATTCTATGTGTTGCCTTATTTACAATGTAATCTTGCAAAATGTCAACCGTTAATGTATACTTAACTATTGTCTATTAATTTGTACTTCAAATGATTAAATAATATTTTATCCAAATAAAAAAATTTGACTAATAAATTATATCAACTCCAAATACCAATTCAAATGATTAGCCCAATTTTGTGATGGAGGGCTAAGTGGCTTGATAAGTTGAGGAGTGAGGATAACTGGAATACTGCATCCATGGCGTCTCGCGTCTTCGATCGCTGCTTGATCGGAGTTGGAGGCCTCACCAATAACGCCGACGACAAATTCTTTCGTGTCGGCCATCGAGGGATCTCCGTCGACAATGGGGGAGATTCAATAGAGGAAAATCAAAACACAGATTCAATAATAAGTTGGGAAATCGGCCGATTTAAAATTGCGTCAAAAGAATCCAAACCCACATTTGAGAATCAGTCTAGGATTGAAAAACCCAAATCAAGTTACAAAGGCTTCTACTCATCTCCCATCAACTAGCCCCATGGAAGAAATTCCCCACTCCTGTCGTCGACCAACCCCATAACCTGGTGATGGGAGGACTGAACTGGCGAAGGAGCCCCGACGGAGCGCTGACACAAGCCACTAGAAAATGGAGGGAAAAGGATGAACTGAAACGTAGGAAAAAGAGACAGAAGGGAGAAGGAAAGAATGAAGCACAACCTGTTGATGGGCAAACTGTGGAAAGGATGGGGAAAAAATGAGAGATTGTGAAATAGCTTATGGCCACCAACTATTTCTAAAACCCTCGTTTTAGAGTTTTTAAAATCTCTAATTTTAAAATTCCTCATCTTACCAAATGAGAGATTGTGTTAAAATCCAGCATTGGGATCTCTCACTCGAATACGTAATTAGAAGTGGCAATAATGATCCAATCCATTTAAATTGATCCAAATCCATTTAAATTGGAAGTACGGTTTCAATTGAAACATTATATAGTCAAGCATCTACTAAATACATGATTCACATACACTCTGCTTGCAACATAGACATCCTTAGTTAGATTCTGCTGTGTTGTTCCTCTCTTGCAAACCTTCTTCCAATTGCAAACCTGTGGCCTCTTCTAAAGACACTTGGTTGTTATTATCTCTATGTTAGAAACAAGGTTTCTAACGGGTTCAGGATTGGGAATTTAGCTAGATCAATTAGGGATTGATCTAACTAGGATTGGGAATTGGGGATTTAGAACAAAGAAGAGGGGAGGAAAGGGATGTTGCTGCCGCAGCTTTTGGAGGAGAAGAGGGAGAGGGGAAACGCAGGAGAGAGGGAGAGAGAGAGGAATTAGGCTTTAGGTTTTTGTTCTGTAATTGCTTAATGAAAAATAAGACCACTACTACATATTATATAGTCTGCATAATTCCTATCCGCTACCCAAATAATAAAATGTATCAATTGACTCCCCGTTTATTCCCCAAATACCCCAAATAATCCCCCAATGACTAAAACCCGACAATAATACGAAATGACCAAAAACTACAAATAATGTGTTTCCCACATCCCCGCCTTCTTCGGAAACAACCTTGTCCTCAAGGTTGCGGGTCCTACTCCATCTCTGGCGGTCCTTCTTCAGCTGCTTCCTCCTCTGCTTCATCTTCCCAGTGCCCCACCAGCATCATCAATTCGGGCTTGGAGCACTTGTGTCCCACGGTGAACCTTTCGTCGCTGTTGAAACATTTGCCCTCCCTTCTCTTCTGCTCGATCTCCTGTGGCGAGAGCCTCACGAATCCTTTTGGGGGTGGCCTAGGTGCTTGCCGACTTGGGAAGGCTGCGCCAGCTGGCGACAGCCCGGTGCCAGTGGCCGTACTCGTCCCTCCTCTACCTGGTCCAACGCCACCTCCTCCACTCCCACATGACTTTGGGAACCGGCCGATGGTGCTTCTCCAGCTGGCCAGCTCTTCCTCTTTATGACCTGTAAGACGAAAAGCAGACCGCAGCGAGTCGGGCTCGAACACCTTAACCGTCGCGGCTATCTCTGGTATAGGCCAGCCATGCACAACCCAACCAGGGTCTCCTCCGGCACTCCTTTGCATTGATTGCCCAGCTTGAAAAACTCCGCCTTGTACTCCGCGACTGTCCCTGTCTGGCGTAGCTTAGCCAGTTGCTCCGGTGCCCACCCTTCGGATTTGCCAAACTGATATCGCAGCTCTTCCTTGAGCAAAGGCCAGGTGATCAAGGTCTGCGCAGCTGCGCATGAACGCTCTAGCCACTCCCACCACTATAACGCGTCCCCCTCTAGGTAGAAGGATGCCAGATGCGCCTTCCTCTCTTCTTTGGTGGGGTGATTCTTGAACCACCTGTCAGCTGCATACAACCTTAGACCTGCATCCTCTTGACTGTTGAATTTTGGAAACTCAATGGTAGGGGGTTTGGCCCTAAACACCAGATCACCATCAAAGCCTCGAGGATAACTGTCATACCTGCCGTACCCCGGGGCTCGATCATGATAGCCCCGCGGTCCCGGTGGCCCTCTACTTCGACCCCACTCTTCATCCTCCTCGAACAGGTACTCCGCATACTCGTCCAGACCCGCCTTCCGTGCCTGACTAGCATCCCACTGCTCTACCGGCGAACGGGGACCCTGAACTGGCGGATAAAACGGTCCCGAACCCCTACCGAGATCTCTCCGGATGTTAGACTCCCGGTCGCCTGATCCGCCCAAAAACTGGTCCAACCTGTTCAACCCACTGGGTTGACCCGGTTCAACCCCACCCAGTCCAACCCACTCCAGTCGACCAAACCCGGTTCGGCCCGGCGCGGTCACGCGCCGCTTCCCATCGGCTCTCGGCCGGTTTCGGCCCAATTCCGGGCCCTCTAGTGCGGGCCCAACTCCTCTTCCTCGTCCAGACTCAGCCACCCCAGCCCATTGGGTTCCTTGCTTGGGCCCATGTATTCGTGCGGGCCGAAATCCAGATGGGGGCCCACATCGTCGTACCCAGGCATCTTCGTCTTGCCCTTCATGGTCGCGATTTCTTGGGCTGACGGGGTCGGCAACAGGCCCGACCCGCGACCCCGCCCACCCGTCGCCGCCACCGCTACTGCACGATCAGCTCGGGGCGGTTCTAGGTTCGCCTCCCTTCCTCCCTCAGCCACCGCGGACGCTGAATCCGTCTGCGCTACCGCCGCCTTCGCCGCGAGCGACCCACCGCCCGCCGCCCTACTTGCCCCGACCACCGCGACTGTAGCGCCAGCCTGCGCCGCCGTCGCCTTCTCCGCGGGTGTCCCGCCGACCGCCGCCTCTACCCCGCTGCTGGCTCCTCCGCCCGCCGTGCCAGGTGCGCCGCCCCCGTCGACCGCCAGCTCGACCGGGCTCGGTGTTCCCCCGGCTTCATCCTCTTTGCCTGCAGCCAGGCAACCACTCTCATCAGGTCCTCCAGCCTCTGACGAAGGTCATCAGCATCCGCCTTTGCATCAGCATGCACTCTCGCCTGGCTTTCTTCGAGCTGAGCCAGCGCATAAGAGTGCTCGTGCACCACCACCTTCACCGCCTCAAGATCAGTTTCGTCCTCCACCACCCCGTCGAGCCCTACGTCGCCCGCCTCGGTGTTTTTCTCAGCTGCCTGAGCCGCCTTCTCTGTCGCCTTCATCGACTTTGTTGATACCATCGTTGCCTTCCCTGGTTCAAGAGCTCAAAAGAACTCACTCTCGAGCCAGGCTCTGATACCAGATGTTAGAAACAAGGTTTCTAACGGGTTCGAGATTGGGTAATTCAGCTAGATCAATTAGGGATTGATCTAACTAGGGATTGAGAATTGGGGATTTAGAACTAAGAAGAGGGGAGGACAGGGATGCTGCTGCCGCAGCTTTTGGAGGAGAAGAGGGAGAGGGGAAACGCAGGAGAAAGGGAGGGAGAGAGAGAGAGAGGAATTAGGCTTTAGGTTTTTGTTCTGTAATTGCTTAATGAAAAATAAGACCACTACTACATATTATATAGTCTGCATAATTCCTATCCGCTACCCAAATAATAAAACGTAACAATTGACTCCCCGTTTATTCCCCAAATACCCCAAAGAATCCCCCAACGACTAAAAACCGACAATAATACGAAATGACAAAAACTGCAAATAATGTGTTTCCCACACTCTATACTATTGGATCACCAATTTCTCGCAGTCCATCGGTCGGCCCCAATTCCTTGCAGGCATTATGTTGATCCATCTAGAAACCAATGTCGCCTTCAGGAGTAGCACCAACCAAGAACATGTTGCAACAACAACGACATTGGAGCAACAACAACGAGGATCAACCAGTATATTGATACCGTCAATGGAGGCAGGGGATTTGATGGAAAGCACTCGGAGATAAGATAACCATTTTCTCTTCTTCGATGTTTGGATCGGCGGACTCATCATGCCTGCTGCCAACACTGATTCCACTAATAATATTATTCCTTTGTCTCCAAAGGACTCATCAAAGTCGCCGTTGGTGGTGACTGTTTCTACAGCAGTCCAGCTACACGAAAATTCTGTATTAAAATTAGAAAATTTTCTTAACCTAAAATATCATTGAAAAATTGCGTTTGGTATCTAAATTTTGATTATGATGGTGTAATACCTAAAGTTCTCGAAATTTACATAATGGTCCAAAAATTGGATGTAATTTGGATGTGACGGATAAGTTCATTAACCCATTTGATCCAATCCGTGAATCCACCATTTGATCTACGGATCAATCCTTCCAATTCATCAATCCATGAATGCAGTCCATTTGCCACCTCTATACACAATCCAAAAGGGCCCTTCCACGAAACAAAATCTAACACTAGTAAATTAGTGGGTGACATAGTTTAACCCTTTTCTCTTCTTCAATGTGTTTGGATCGTCAGACTTATCATGCTCGCCTCCGGCGTTGATTCCGGTAATAATATCATTTCTCTATTCCGGAGGACTCATCAAAGTCACTGCCGGCGGTGACTGTTTCTCCAGCCGCACGGAAATCCTATACTAAAATTAGACAAATTTTTTAACTTGAATATTTTTAAAAATTCAAGTTTTGGTACCTAAAATCTTTACTATGAAGATGTAATACCTAAAGTTTTTAAAATTTACATAATCGTCCAAAAGTTAGATGTCATTTGGATTCATAGATCAATCCACCAATCCATTTGATCTATGGATCCAATAATCCAATACACCAATCTATAAATCCAGTCTATTTGCCACCTCTACACCTAATCCAAATGGGCCCTTATGTGAATGCAACCACGAAACAAAATCTAACCCTCGAAAATTCAAGAGCGGATCAGGTGAGTAACCATGAGTAACCCGTTCACATGAGCATCCCTCTCTATCATGGAAAGCCTTTTATCTTTTCCGCTTTAATCTTTAACGTAATATTTCTCTCGTTTTAAGTCGAATTTTTTTTTTGCACAGATAAATTAGATTAAATGTGATATTTAAAATGATATTTACTTTTATATATTTTAAGAACAAAAAAATTGAGTCATTTTTTTACCAGTCAATACCATTAGGGCTGCAAATGAGCCAAGCCGCTCGCGAGCAACTCGGCGTTCGAATCGAAAAAAACTCGTTCGACACTCAACTCGTTGTTTAACAAGCCGGCTCGCGAGCCGACTCGTTAGTAAACTAGCCAAGTTTGAGCTAGACCATGCTCAGCTTGATAAGCTCGTGAGCTAGCTTGACTCGGTGGCTTGTTGAGCTAAGCTCGCGAGCTGGTTTGTTTAGAGCTTGTGGAAGGATTAATTACTCTTTTGAACATGAAAATTATCATGTTAATAAGGACTAGTTTTTTACCCGCCCGTTGGGCGGTGTATTTTGTTTGGTTGTTTTATAATTTGTTATAGTATTCTAATTGTTATTATTATTTATGTTTGCTAAGGTAATATTCATGGAATTGTAAATCCCACTTACCTTATTTCAGGTATTATTTCATACTTTTATACCTTTTGTTTATTTATGAACATTTTAATTTTATTAACTGAACTCTCTTTGTAGACGGTTCTTTATTGATTTAGACTTTTTTTTATCGAACTCGCCCTTTAAGATTATAAACATAAGAGATTATTCATTGTTTAGCATAGAATTGTGATAAAGAAGTTAAAAAACTTACGACCACAAAAGAAGAAGTTAGAATAAGAAAATGTGCTTCAATTAATTAAAAAAAATAAGCGAAGAGCTTTTTATTTTCTCTCCCTTCTTATATGTCGGTATATGATAATATAGAATATTCCGATCTAAATCCCATGAATATCGTGTATTATCACTTACACATACAATTTTGGAATAATGAGGAAACTCATTAGCATCCACATCCATCAATCTTCCACGTACTTGTTTAATTACCTTGAAATGTTCTAGCAAAACCAACCACAAACAAAACTATCAGATGTCACTAACTTATTAAAGCAATATTTTCAGCAAATTAAACTGCATATAATTAAACACAATTTATATTTTATAGAGAACTACATATCTCCTGCAGAAAAGAATTGTGTTTTATTACCTAATAACAACATAGACAAATAATGAAAAGAGCAGTCTTCAATACAACTCAACTCATTTTATCATTCAGATTCCTCATTTGTGAACTGAATATATGCATCAATCCAAATAGTAGTTTGTAAGAAAACAATTATGTCAAAATCAATCTTTAGTTAGGGATTCAATGCAGAAAAACACCTTAATGAAACAAACAAATGTCACCGCCAACATGTAGAAATTATAAAATAATCGAAATAGACAACCGAGAAACCACCATTATCATTTTCTTTCTTCTTCGCGACCTTTATAAAACCTCAATTATGTTACCTTCTACTTATAACCCCTTTGCTACCTACTAATTACTAACCAGATCATCATTGTATAGCTAGCTAGTAGTAGCATGTCAATCATGAACATAAAATATAATAAACAATCATCACAACTCTACTTTCCATTTCAACATTCAAGAAATTGGGTTGCAATAGGCATTCAAGAAAAACGATCAATTATTCAACCAAAGGAGGTATGCCCTAAGTCCAACCAATTAACCCTTCTAATTATATTTTATATACATGAAAGTATATGGCGACCCTTCTCAGTAAACAACAAAGAAAAAATATATTCACTCATCGAGAGTGGGGAAATTTACCATCCAGCAGTCGTAATTTGGAAGAAATTAAGAAAAGAATGGGAAAAAGAGTATAACTCGGCCAGTCAACCGCAAATAATAACATATCGCTGAGAAAGTGAGACCAGTTGCCAGCTTCAGATCAAGGAGGAAGAGGGAGCAGTCGACAACCCTCGGCTTGGTTCACCTCATCTTCACAATGATCATATTAACTTTTTTCGTCAACAGGCAAAAATATGTTACAACTGCTCAAATTTTTGTCATCTTATCGTTGTCTCGTGTAATTTCTGCCTCCTATTCTCATACAAAGAAAAAAAATCGTATGCATTACCATTTCCTTCTCTATAAATTATGAGAATACAAATATTAGAAATCTCAAAAAAATTTAGCAACTAATAAGAGGGCTTTGTTTATTTTTATGGTGGTTGACATACTCTCTTGATTTCTTATTTTCAATGTTGGATTTTATTTCTATAGAGACAATCAAAATGGGGAAAGGGATAGAAAAAAATTAAAAGTTTGCATTAATAATTAATATGTTTTCATTTAATCGAAATGAATAAGAAGTTTTTAAAAAAATAACAATTATTGCTCTGTCAAGTTTATATTCAAACATTTTTCTATATAATTTATACTTGTTTTATTTGATAGGTATATACATAAGAAAGAAGTGAGTGTTTGATAGCAAAAAACATATAGTCATATCGTTCATTTCTCAAAGTCGATTGATTGTCAAACGTTTATTTTCTCTTAGATCATCGTTTATATTTTGTTTTGAAAAATATTAATATTAATGTGTGTGCTTATTTTTTTTTCTTCATCAAAATGTAACTTATTATTAAGTTTTAGTAAAAATGAGTAGAAAATTTACTTAATCAGATTTAATCAGTTTGGGTTAAACAAATACAATATATGTCACTCTCTGTTTCCATCTTTATAGTTTGTTTAATCGAATTTATTTTTATTACTTAGGTGTGTGTTTTTTGTTTAAATGTTTCCTAAAAAATTAATTTATTTTAATTTTAGTAAAAATGAGTTGAATTATTAAAAGAAGAGAGAGACAACTTCATAAATAGATCAATAAATAGTTTTTTGTTTGAAAAAAATTGTCCACCTTGGCAACTTGTGCATTCACCAAGTGCTTATGTGGCAAGAAGTTATTTTTGAATAGTCATAATATTTAGTATAGATAGATAGATAGATAGATAGATAGATATAGATAGATAGATAGATAGATAGATAGATAGATAGAAGATAGATCGATATAGATATGGATAGATATAGATAGATAGATATAGATAGATAGATAGATACAGATATACATAGATAGATGTGTATGGAAGTTATATGTTATTTTTAGTTTCTAGTGTTCTTTTTATCATTTTTAGTTTCTAATATTCTTATTTGTACACATTTTTCCAGCAAAGAATGGTTTCAAATCGAGCTCATCTTTAGCCGAGTTTGTACTCAGCTTGACAAGCTGTGTTAATGAGCATTTATCGAGCTCTATCGAGCCGAGCTCGAGCTGGATGATCAAAATTCGAGTTCGAGCCGAGATCGAGCTGAAAAATTTATAAATGAGCCGAGCTCAAGCTGAGCAAAAGCTCTACTCGACTCGGCTCGTTTGCAGCCCTAAATACCATATGGTATGCTCCTATTTAATACCATATGGTAAGAAAGCGTACCATGATTGTATGAACAAGCCAATATGGTAGGAAGGTTGAATACATGATAGTAGGAGTATACTAACTCTCATTTACGAATTTCATCATTGTTTATCACAAGTTACCACCCACATACCATAGTGGTAAAGTATGGTAACTTTTGATCCTGTATTTTGTTCACCCAGAAATTTGTAGATCCAATAAAACGAAGAACGTACCATATGATATGTAGTTGGTAACGGGAGGTATGAAAAAAAATTTCTCGAAATATATTGAAAATTGATCTCATTTGTAGAGCACAACGAACTCTTTCAATTTGTGCAAACAAAAAATTGAAATCCGAGTTAGAACGAAAAAGATAAGAGCCGATTAAGTAAACTAGACAAAATAAAATGAATTTAATTAACAACCTTTAAATTTATATTTTCTGAACTTACTTATATCTAAAGGTCTAGATTTAATTATTTATAAGTCAGTACTTAATGTGACAGAAATAGGGCCTTGTTTGACGGGTCCACCAAGATGTAAAAAAAACAAAGGCCCATAGAATGACTGGGCTAGAAACTTATCCCGTCCCTAAAAGCCCATAACTGGTGCCAGGAGCCCAGAACTGTAGAGAAGTAGGGTTTGCATCGCCACCTCTTCAGTTCACTGCCTCACTCACTCGCTATAAAAATCTCAAATCAACAGAGCTCAAATTAGCAGTTGTCTTTCCATGCCGTCCCCAATTTGAAATCTTCGCCGTGTGGAGTTAGGGTTCCAACCTCCCCGTTATCGAGCTAAGGATTGAAAAATTCTCTCTGGTTTTGCGGTTTATTGTTTTGCTTTCTCGATTTTGATTTCATTCGTTTCAATTTCTTCATGCTCTGTGTGTTGTCGTAGTCTTGGAATCGGAATGGAGGTCGAACGAATGATGATGAGTCAATACAGACCTGTAATGACTTTGCGGCCATGATCGCAGTTTTTTTGAACATCTAAGGGACTGAGTTCGTCGAATTTCTATCTCCGTTCCAAGGCAGTTTTGCTCATTTTTTTTCTCTCTTAAAAAAGTGAATTAGGAATTTCTGAACTGGGCTTTTTATTGAAATTATGAATGTGGACTGGATCAATGATGAATCGTCCATGGCGAGAAGAGGCCCTAGAGAGATGTTCCCCTCGCTATCCAATGCTTCTTATTTCGTGTTGCATCAGGACGTCGGGGAACTACATTGACTTGTGTTTCTTTCTTTCTTCGTTTAGAGTTTTTGAAATAGAATTGATCAGAGCGATTATAAAAAAAAAATAAAAAAAGAATTGATCAGAGCAAAGAATTGCTGTTTGTCTGAGTATTTGATAACCAGTTTCGCTTGGTGTTCATTGCAGAAATTTGGTTTATACAGCTAGATCAGCGGATTCTGCAGTTCATAGTCTTATATCTCTGATGAACTTGGTACTATTTGAGCCATTTCGTTCAATCTAAATCAGAGCTATCTTCCTCTTCCCGATAAAAAGAAAAAAATATTGGGATTGTGATTAATTAACTGGTAACCTTTCAATTTGGTAACCAGGTAACATCTCCTAACTTCAGCACATTGCAAGTTGGAACAAGAATCGATACCCAGAATACCAATAGCAATACATTTCAATTTGACCAAGTGACATTTAAGCAAGGTTGTAAATCTGGTTTACCCTATTTGTCTGAGTGAGTGGATAGAGGGTTAATGGTAGGGCCGTTAGTCGGTGTGGTTTCGGTTTAACCGAAACCGCACCGTCGGTTAGCCGACACGGCAAACAGGGTGTATTCCCTAACCGAAGACGACACCGAAGGGAGGATCGGTTAACTGCCAACTGCAATCGTCGGTTTCGGTTTGAAGTGACGGTTGCTCTGAGACTGACACACAACAACTCCGACCACCATCGTCGATGTGCATGTCACCGAAAATCAGATCTGAGTCCGCCATGAATTCGGAGCTGATTCCACCGCGAATCGAGGTAGATGGGGGAGGAAGGGGAGAGAGTGTGAGAGGAGGATCTGGATCTGAATCCGTTGCCGGAGGCACAAGGAGGAAGATCGGAGATCGAGGACGACGACAAACGACGGCGAAGGAAAGAGGTTGAGGACGACGGGGGCGACGAATGACGAAGAGGGAGTAGGTTGATTGGGCAACTAGGGAAAGTTGCATGCTGCCCAACGCCCGTTCTCCCCTCTTGCTTTCTCTTTGTTGCCCAATCATAGGAAAATATGGTGATGGGATCGATCTGGTAATGGGAGGAAGGATTGATTTGAAGAAAAAGAAAGAGAGTGGATCTCTAGATGCTATTTGAGAGGGAGAGAGGAAGGGGGAACAATTGATTTGCAGGTAGAGAGAGTGGAATGATGTAGGGAAAGGAAAGCAGTGGACGCATGGGAGAGAGATGGGCACTAGGGATTTGCTGGAGTGGAAAGGAGACTCATATTTTGACAGTGGTACGGTTAGGCGGTGCACCGCCAGCGGTTTCGTTATAGCCGATAATCGCTCGATTTCCGAATATGGGGATTTTATTCAACCGAAACCGCCAACCGAACACAAATGGCGGTTATCAGTTAGCCGACTAACCGCTTTTTTCGGTTCGGTTAGACGGTTAGCCGAAAACTGCCAACCGTTTTATCACCCCTAGTTAATGGTCTGACAGCTTTAGCTCGGTTTAACTTGGATATATAAAAGTGTCATTTTATTGTTCATACATTTATAAATTATATCCTATCTCATCTAACATATGAATAATAAAATATAATTTTTAACTAAAATAACATGTCGTACTTGATACAAAATATAGTGAAAATTCATACCCTTATATTACATTAATATTCAATTGTTCAACTTAGAAATCTAACGATTGGGTTAGGCAAAAAGGGAAATCGTAAAATAGGCGCATTTCGCAAATGAAATGAAAAAAAATGACACAGTTTGACCTTCAATCCGGTACCTTGTAACGGTCGACTCGACAAGTATGTGCTGTCCATTTTTCTCACCGGTTCAAAGTCCAAATCGGTGAACCAATTGGTCAAATTGGTTGACAACCTTGCATTTAAGTGTAGAAATTGTTAATTTGGGTCTCTTATAAACTTAGTTAATCATAATAAATAGGCAAAACACACTTATATAGCTATAGTTTCACGATTTTGTCAATAATAACTGTTTTTTGAGAAATATACAAAATGGCCATTTCCGTCCAATTTTCTAACAGTGTCATTTAACAAAGTAACTAGATTAATATCAGCGGTTGACGTGCCATATTTTTTTCAAGAAATAATGTCAGGTGGAAATAATCAACGTTTATCTTTTTATTTTAATAAAATTAAATAAAAATAATAATATCTTCTCTCCACTTATGCCTAACATTAAAAGCCCACCTCTCCCCCCCCCCCCCACTCCCCCTTCTCTGCTCCATTAATTAATTGAACGACGACTAGTCCAATTAGGGGCAGGGCTATTGCATGATACGACCTTTGTTGTTCTTGACCCTGCTTCACTTTAATTGTTGTTTGAACAAGGAAAAGCTATGTCTTGGTCCGGAAGTGTAGGAGTAGTGATGCAAATGAGCAAGCCACTTCCAACAACTCAACGTTCGACTCAAAACAAACTCGTTCCAATCTCGGCTCGTTATTTAATAAGCGGCTCACGAGCCGACTCGTTAGCAAACGAGCCAAGCTAGAGCTAGATCAGTCTCAGCTTGAGAAGTTCGTGAGCTAGCTTGACTCGGTGGCTTGTTGAGCTAAGGTCGCGAGTTGGCTTGTTTAAAGCTTGTGGAAGGATTAATTATTCTTTTAAACATGAAATTATCTTTTTAATACGGATGTGTATAGAAGTTAGCTGTTATTTTTAGTTTCTAGTGTTCTTCTTATCATTTAAATTCTTACGTGGACAAGTTTTTCAACAAGAATGATTTGAAATCGAGCTCATCTTGAGCCGAGCTTGTACTCAGCTTGACAAGCTGTGTTAATTAGGGATGGCAATGGGTCGGGTCGGAGACGGATAGTGCATATCCGTTACCCTACCCAAAGTAGTTCGGGTTTTACCCATACTCATACCCACATATGAAACGGGTAGAAAATTTAAACCATGCCCATACCCGTTCGGGTTTCGGGTATCCACGGTTATCCTTCGGTAATGATTTCTCTTCATAACTCCAACTAATATATTAACATTCACACGTATTCTCACATTACGCAAGAGGAAAAGTATGACAATAATTCACTAGAATGAAGAAAATTAATTAAAACAACACAATTTCATGAAAATATTATATTTATATGCTAAATATAAAATATGTTAGAGAAAAATAATGACTATTTCTAGACAAAATACATATGTATGTGTATAATCGGGTGGGTTCGGGTTGGATACTGAGAAACCCATGCCCACCCATTACCCGCAATATTCGGGTTCGGGTTTTACCCATACCCACTAAATGTCCTTCGGGTTCGGGTTTTACCCTACCTGATTAGGCCGGATTCGGGCGGATATCCACGGTTACGGATATTTTTGCCATCCCTAGTGTTAATGAGCATCTACCGTGCTCTACCGAGTCGAGCTCCAGCTGAATTATTTTTAATCGTGTCGAACTCGAACTTTAAACATTTATTAACGAGTCGAGCTCAAACTAAGCAAAAACTCGACTCGTTTGCAGCCCTAATTACAGATCCCCTCCCCCTCCCCTCCTCTCAACACCTCTCCACTACCTAGGTCCGCCCCTGGCTACTTGCATGATAAAGCTCCCTAGACTATCTTGTAAAATGGATTTGCTTCTGCAGTGGCGTGCGAGTAACTGGTGTGACCGTTATGTTGTTGCAATGGTGGGAAGATTGGTTTGAAGTGTAGCTGTTAGATTTACGTGGAGGGAACAATGCTCAAGACACCGCAGTGTTGCCTTTGCTAGATCTCCTGTTCAGTTGAGTTTCGAGTTGAGTTGGGGAGCTATGTGCTAAGTAAAGCATTATGTGTAAATAATTGAGGCGTCAAAATATTTGTTTTGGTTTACTTCAATTTAGTGAAATTTTGTTTAGCCATAAGATTTTTTGTAATTATCTATTCAATTCCTTAAAAGTGTTTAACATGGAAAGTGTCAAAGAAAATGGAACAATTGACTCAACTCTGTGTTTGGCAATTAGGGGTTGCAAATTTGAGGGAAGTGAGACAAGCAACAATGATGTCATTGATAGACCGTTAATTGCACATGTTTTTACCCCTATTCTTGAGCCGTTTGAGATGTTGATTCTCATGTTTTAGGCCGATTTCACGCTAGGTTGTGCTTGTTTGTGATATTTCAGGTCCTAGTACGTGAATGAAGGTTTGGGAACGAGTTCGGGGTCAGACCGCGTATACAAACTGCAGTTGGAACACCAGCAAAGAAAAAAAAAACAAATAGTAAGAAGAAGGGGTTCCAACAAGTGAAATGAAATGAAAAAGCACTCGATACAATGAGTCCTTGGTTGTTGAATTGTGTGAGTCTCCTTATCCATGAATTGAATGTCTTAGTTTCACTGCTTCTCATGATCCTGGCTTGAGTCTAGTACTCGCATTGAGAGAGATAGGAGGCGTCTTAGAAGACCAGTTGACCTCGTAAGTTGCTAAATGATCTAGAAAATCCTCTGCCGACGATCGGGGTTGCATGTTGCTATAGAGGTCTAGAGAGTTGCATTGGTTTGAGTCAGGTTTGCTTGGGGACAAGCAAACGGTTAAGTGTGGGGGAGTTTGATAGACCGTTAATTGCACATGTTTTTACCCCTATTCTTGAGCCGTTTGAGATGTTGATTCTCGTGTTTTAGGCCGATTTCACGCTAGGTTGTGCTTGTTTGTGATATTTCAGGTCCTAGTACGTGAATGAAGGTTTGGGAACGAGTTCGGAGTCGATTGGACGAAGTTTGGACGTTTGGCGAGAAGCTGAGAAGCCACACAGGCGCCCTGGAAGTCCACACGGCCGTGTGGGTCGTGGCCGTGTGGGATGGCTGAAGTCACTTAATCGAAACTCTGCGTTTTGCACACTCACACGGGCAGACTGGGAAAGCCACACGGCCCGTGTGGCCTGCCCGTGTGAGTCGAGAATTCTGGTTTTAACCCAATTTCGAGCCACAAGTGAAGGCATCGACTTTTCAGAGCAAAAACAGAGCCCTAGAGAGAGAAAGTGCGAAGAACTCAACCTAGAAGCGATCTTGGAGCTGGGTTTCATCAAATCGAGCTTGGAGATCATCATAGGAGTTAAAATCATCATCCCAGAGCAGATTCTTCCCATTGTTATGTGTATGACTGCTTTGTATTCTGTTTTTTCTCTCTCTCTCTCTCTCTCTCTCTATGGAGTAGACCCTTCTTTCACTTGGGTATGAAGAACCCTAGTTCCATGTGTTAGGGATCATGATTGTAATGACTTGGGATTGCTATACTGTTTGGTTTTAATCGAATGATGCATGATTCATTGAAGTCTGATAAGCTTTTCTTGAGTTAGTCAGTCTACTGCTTTGTACTGGAATCCAATTCCAGTAGTGGAGTTCTGTGCTTATTGCTTCATCTGTCTATCCCGGTGAAGACTAGTCATCTGCCGGGTAGTTAGACTGAGAGGGCTTGGTCAACTTAAGAGATTCCAAGCTACTGTCGGATCTTCCGCAGTTTAATCAATAGTAAATCAACCCAGGGTAATTACAACTGAGACCTAACTAAGGAGCTAGGGGGACTCATTCCCGAGTGACTCTTCCTTTGCTTCAGAAAACCGAACCAATTCCTGCTTTCTTATTGCTTTTAGTTATAACCACAATCAATCAACTTAGTTTGCTAGATAATAGATATTCACGAAGTAGGCAGTAGATCTAGACCCCGGGTTGATAATTAGACTTGCCACTTTACTGCATTCCTGGAATGCGATTACACTTGGTCGCAGTTTGGTGTTGTGTCGTAGCGTGTCAAGTTTTTGGAGCCGTTGCCGGGGAACCCTCTAGGTTACTGGGGAAACGTGAAAGTTTGTTACTCTAGCTTTTTCTTTACTGCATTTTCTCTCTTCCACCTGTGTGCCTTCACGGGTTGCTTCTGCTGATTGTGTGCAGGTAGTGCATGACCCGTAGCCAGTCGGGAGATCTACTACCATTAGACCAGGAGCTTGAACGAACCTGCAGGAACTTCAAGCGGGCTCTAAAGGCGCGACTAGCTGCAGAGGAGCCGCTGACAGCTGCAAATCGCCGAAGAAGAAGAGATGGGTGATCCACAGAACCATGATGTGGTCCTTCCCGAGGAGAAGACCTTGGGATACTACTGGACCGCCAGGGCCGCGGACATGAGGTTGCCCATTCAACACCCTCATGTGCCAGCAAATAATTTTGAGGTGAGCACCTCTGTCATCACAATGCTCCGCGGTTCGGTGGCGTTCCGTGGTAAAGAGGGGGAGTGTCCCCGATCACATCTGAGGCGATTCCACGAGCTCATCAATGGAATCAAGATAAATGGGGTCCCAGCCGATGCCATCCAGCTGAGGTACTTCCCATTTACTCTAGAGGGGCAGGCCAAGGAATGGCTAGACACTCGACCTCCAGGCTCGATCACCACGTTCGCCAATCTGGCGGACAAGTTCCTCACTCGCTACCATCCCCCGTCCAAGACGGCGGACCTGCACAAGCAGATTACCCATTTTGCTCAAGATGAAGACGAGACCATCCGAGATGCCTGGGAGAGATACACCAGTCTCTTTCTCAAGTGTCCCAACCATGGTTTTACTGATGCCTTCAAGGTGGGAACCTTCTACCATGCCCTCTTCCCAGAAGACAAGCAGCTGATTGACTCGGTTTGTGGCGGGAACATGCTGACCAAAGCACCGCCACAACTGAATCAACTCTTTGAGGAGATGGCAGAGAAAGGGTATGATTGGGGCACTGCTAGGAGGTCGAGGAGAGCACCAAGCCGAGGTGATACAACCCTAAATTGCTTCATTACCAAGCTAGAGTTACTTGCCCGAGAAGCTAACCCAACTCATTTGAACAATCTTAGTTTTTGGCCAAGTATAGTGACGTGTTCAGGCAGCCTACTTTAGAGCTTTGGTCCTTCCAATTGGGTTAATGGAAATGAAAGATTAGTGTGTTGTTTTGAACATAAAAACTTCCTCTACAAGATGGCAGGAGATTCGGGTTCATATGAAGTCGTTAAAGCTGCGTTCCAAGGCCTCAAAGTAGCTGTCTCAAAACTGGCAGACTGCCAGAATTTTGCTAAGTCTGGAGGCATGGTCAGGAAGGTAACTTTGGAGGTCCATTCAGGGAAGAGGGGTTCGAATCATGGAAGGAGCTTTGTACCACATGAAAGTGCGTTTGATTGTCTACAGAAGCAAGGTATTGGCTAAGGAGATGGAGACCTGGACATATGTGAACGTAGGGGTCAAAGTTGCTATGGACACTGTTTTGGAGGCAGCTTGCGTAAGCTACAAGTTGGGTATTATGGACGAGTTGGGATTCCTTTTCTGTTTTGGTTTGTTACCTTTAGACGTTGTAGGATTAATTAGCTTTCCTTGTTTGTTTTGTACTCGAATTAGGTTTTAGTTTGCTTATTTAAAGACCTAGAAACTCCATTGTAATAGTTAGACGTTAATCAATTCAGAACTTGTTCATTGAGTTTTCAACTCGTGGATTGTCCTTGTTGCTTGGTTCAAATCGCCAACGACGAGCGAGCCTTGTATCGATTGAGTCATCACCTCAATCATGGTCGGGTTGCTATCTTGAATTCGGTTGAGCCTCTTCCCCACGCGTGGTGTTGAAGTTGCACTCCGAACCATCCTTCTATTCCCCTGTTACTTTGTTCTCTGGCTTAGAAATCTGAATTCCAAGCTGTGTTCAACAAGCCTCGCGGATTGGGGCTTATCACGAGGTGTACATGCTGTGGGAACCAACTCTTCTGATTTGGTGCAGGTTGTGTCTAAACTGGTCTCAGCCATCGATCGGAATGGGATGGTTCCGGGGATAGGGCAGCAGCCGGCAATGCGTTGCCAGTGGTGCGAGAGCGCCCATCATACTGTAGAGGACTTCCAGGCCATGCGTGAGTCCAGTACGCCCCAGGAGCAGTAGAACTTCATCAACAATGTCCGGCGCAACGACCCATACAGTAACACTTACAATGAGGGATGGCGCCAGCATCCAAATTTCTCCTGGAGTGGCAACAGCAATCCGAAGCCACTTGGCTTCCAAGCTCCTACTGCTAGTTTTCCAAAACAGAGGCAGCCATACCAGCCTCGCCCAGGCCAGATGCAGCATCAGCCACCACTTTATCAGCCCAGACAGGGGCAGGCTTTTCAACAGCCCCCACAACAGCAGTACCAGCAACCTGGTGCACCTCCATCAGTCACAGCATCGGGCGATCCCGTGTCGGAACTGAGGGATCTAGTGACTACCTTGGCGAGCACTAGTACCCAAAAGTTCAATAAATTGGAGCAATTCATGGAAGTGGCTGCAGGCAAATTCATGGAGATTGAAGCTGGCCAGAGAAACCAGCAAGCACTCCTGCAGGATATGGATACCAAGATCGGGCACCTGGCAGACGCCCTTGCTTCCAGACCGGCTGGCACACTTCCTTGCCAACCCCTACTGAATCCTAGAAATCATAAAGAGGGGTTGCACGCCATTATGCTGAGAAGTGGGACTGTGACTGCGGATGCACCGCAGAAGAGTGCCAAGAAGGTGACCCAGATCACACCAGAGCCGGAAGAAGACCTGGTGATGGAAAAGGAGCCAGAGGATCAAGCTCCAAAGCCACAACCTACAGTGGCCGAATATAAGCCTAAACTCCCTTTTCCCACCAGGATCCACAAAGACAAGCTAGAGGCAGAGTTAATCAACTTCTCATCCATGCTTAGGAAGTTGCATGTTCAAGTGCCCTTCATGGAGGCATTAACTCTGATGCCTAGGTACGCGAAGTTCCTGAAGGAGCTTCTCTCGAAGAAGCGAAGGCTGAGCGAGCTGGCCACTAAAGAGCTCAGCAAGGAGTGGTCGGCCATTCTGCAGAACAAGCTTCCGCAGAAGCAGAAGGACCCAGGTAGTTTTACTATCCCGTGCTCTATAGGTAAATTGCATGTAGAGAGGTCCTTGGCGGATCTAGGTGCTAGTATCAATGTGATACCATATAAATTGTTCAAGAAACTAGGCCTAGGTGAACCCAGTGCCACTAGGATGAGTATTCAACTAGCTGACCGATCTATAGTTCATCCTAAGGGCATAGTGGAAGACCTTCTGGTTAAGGTTGGCAGATTCTTTTATCTTGTGGATTTTGTTGTCCTGGACATCAATGAAGACACAGAAGTGCCCCTTATACTCGGAAGGCCTTTCTTGGCCACCGCCAAGGCTCTCATAGATGTTCATGATGGGACCTTAGTCTTGAGGGATGGCGAGGAGCAAATAACATTTTCTATTGCTAATACTCTTCCTGCTTCATCGCCCTTGCATGCCGTTTCTCACCAGGAGCACGAGTCTGTCGTGTATCCTTCTATGCTTCCCATTTTGCAGGATCCCCCTCTCATACCTTCGCCGCCACTCCCGTCCACTCCGTCACCAAAGGAAAAGATCAAGGAGGAGTGGCGACCGAAACTGCAGGCAGCTAAGCCTGCTCAAAAGAAAGCCGGAGACAACTATGAGCTGGTCCCGCCCCCTGAACCTCGACCACCTTGGCCATCCGAGTATTCGCTCTCTTGCATCATGCCGGATGGCCAGGTCGAGCCGACGAGTGCTGGTGGTCACACCCGCCGTGTGCATGGCCACCATCTGAAGCTGTACCTCAAGAGCGATGTGGATCCGCTCTTGAAGGCAACTGCTCCTACACCTCTTTGAGCATCCACCTACTGGTGTCCAGCTAAAATACGGTAAAGAAGCGCTTGTGGGGAGGCAACCCCACCAAGGTTTGTTTTTCCTTCGTTTGTTTTTGGTTTGTCCACTTGGAACTATGGTTTCTATCACCCAGTGTGTTTTGATGACTCTAGACTTGCTGACTGGTCCCATTTCCAGTCCCCCGACAGTCCATATTCCAGGTAACATCATTCCTCCTTATATTTCCCTTGCTCCATTGAGGGCAATGTCGTGCTTAAGTGTTGGGGGGGGGGGTGTTTATCTATTTTTGACTGCTAGATGAGTTCGTGTGCTTGGAGCCTAGTCCACTGTCCAATTTGATGAATTGAGGGCTCCAAGTACTGTTCCCTGCAATATCCTGCTCAGTATGCTTGGAATTGACAGTCTTTATGGTGATATGCAACATAGGGAGGTAGTTGTAGCACTATGGAGGATGTTGAAGTATAAGATTTTTCCTATCTGTCTCTCTGCTGTGCCAGTTAATTTTGTGAACTAGTGGATTTAGAACCGTTGATTCATGTGGTATTGATGACTCCTCTTATGTTGTGTTGTGGACTCGTGTATCGAAAAAAGGTGCTCAAGTGTGAAATGAAAAAGCAGTTGGTCCTCCATGTCAAAAATTTGAAATTCTAAGACATGGGGTAAGCCCAACGTGTGTGGCACCGTTCATTGCACAAAATCAGGTTTTGGAAGAGATTTTAGTGATCCTTGGTGGGGTAGGCCTACAAGGTGAAGCTAAGTTGTCTCTAGTACAAGTAAAATTTCCACCCGTTGAACGGTTTGCCTACTTGAGGATGTGTTTTTAAGGGCACAGATAGAGCTTCCGATCCCCCTTAATTTCATTGACCCTCCACACGAAGTGAGGAATAGGAGTTAAAAGAAGTACTCTGGCGAGTGACAGATGTACAGAAATTGCTCTTGCTCACCTAATAAGGGCAGACCGCGTATACAAACTGCAGTTGGAACCCCAGCAAAGAAAAAAAAAACAAATAGTAAGAAGAAGGGGTTCCAACAAGTGAAATGAAATGAAAAAGCACCCGATACAATGAGTCCTTGGTTGTTGAATTGTGTGAGTCTCCTTATCCATGAATTGAATGTCTTAGTTTCACTGCTTCTCATGATCCAGTACTCGCATTGAGAGAGATAGGAGGCGTCTTAGAAGACCAGTTGACCTCGTAAGTTGCTAAATGATCTAGAAAATCCTCTACCGACGATCGGGGTTGCATGTTGCTATAGAGGTCTGGAGAGTTGCATTGGTTTGAGTCACGTTTGCTTGGGGACAAGCAAACGGTTAAGTGTGGGGGAGTTTGATAGACCGTTAATTGCACATGTTTTTACCCCTATTCTTGAGCCGTTTGAGATGTTGATTCTCGTGTTTTAGGCCGATTTCACGCAAGGTTGTGCTTGTTTGTGATATTTCAGGTCCTAGTACGTGAATGAAGGTTTGGGAACGAGTTCGGGGTCGATTGGACGAAGTTTGGACGTTTGGCGAGAAGATGAGAAGCCACACGGGCGCCCTGGAAGTCCACACGGCCGTGTGGGATGGCTGAAGTCACTTAATCAAAACTCTGTGTTTTCACACTCACACGGGCAGCCTAGGAAAGGCCACACGGCCGTGTGGCCTGCCCGTGTGAGTCGGGAATTCTGGTTTTAACCCAATTTCGAGCCACAAGTGAAGGCATCGAATTTTCAGAGCAAAAACAGAGCCCTAGAGAGAGAAAGTGCGAAGAACTCACCCTAGAAGCGATCTTGGAGCTGGGTTTCATCAAATCAAGCTTGGAGATCATCATAGGAGTGAAAATCATCATCCCAGAGCAGATTCTTTCACTTGGGTATGAAGAACCCTAGTTCCATGTGTTAGGGATCATGATTGTAATGACTTGGGATTGCTATACTGTTTGGTTTTAATCGAATGATGCATGATTCATTGAAGTCTGATCAGCTTTTCTTGATTTCTACTGCGACCTGAGATAGATAGAATCTGATTAGGTTGTGAGAGCTTCTTCATTCGGTAGTAGTAGATTGGCTATACGAGAGTTAGTCAGTCTACTGCTTTGTACTGGAATCCAATTCCAGTAGTGGAGTTCTGTGCTTATTGCTTCAGCTTTTTATCCCGGTGAAGACTAGTCGCCGGGTAGTTAGCCTGAGAGGGCTTGGTCAGCTTGAGAGATTCCAAGCTACTGTCGGATCTTCCGCAGTTTAATCAACAGTAAATCAACCCAGGGTAATTACTACTGAGACCTAACTAAGGAGCTGGGGGGACTCATTCCCGAGTGACTCTTCATTTGCTTCAGAAAACTGAACCAATTCCTGCTTTCTTACTGCTTTTAGTTATAACCACAATCAATCAACTTAGTTTGCTAGATAATAGATATTCACGGAGTAGGCAGTAGATCTAGACCCCGGGTTGATAATTAGACTTGCCACTTTACTGCATTCCTGGACTGCGATTACACTTGGTCGCTGTTTGGTGTTGTGTCGTAGCGTGTCAGTCATCGACATATATAAGAGTAGCAACAAAGGTAGACCCCCGACGATAAGTGAAAAGCGGATAAGTGATCATCCAGCGGATAAGTGACTTCGGCTGAGTGTGCAAAATCGGGTAGGTTGACATCATATCCACCTAGACGAGTGGACGGTTGACGAATACGGTCACCTTGTCGAGGAGCTGGAGAGCTAGCAGGACCAGGCGAAACCAAGACGGTGGGAGGAGAAGACTGAGCCGCCGAAGTGGAGGCAGGCAAGGGAGCAACTGGAGAAGGAGTGACAGGTGGCGTCGACTGTGCAGGAGAAGTAACGATGGGCGGGGAATGATATCGAGAGGATTTGGGAGGAGGCCTGCCAGGCCTCTGAGAGGTTGGGCAGGTGGACTCAACGGGGACGACAGGAGATGAAGGGCAAGGCGAGTTATCAACGAAAGACGACGAAGCAGGGGGCATCGAGGAAGGGACACCCACCAGATGCGGCTGAGAAGCATTAGGGGAAGTCGAGAGCTGGTGTGAGAAAATATGCTCAAGGAACTTGACGTCGCGTGACGTATAGATCCTTTTCTGCTCCAAGTCCCAGATGCGATACCCACGTTGAGTGCCCGGATAACCAACAAATATACGTGCGCGACCACGAGAGCCAAACTTATCCAACCAATGATGATTGTCACGCGCATAGACCAGACAACCAAAGTTGTGCAAGTGCTCGTATGAAGGATCCTTACCAAAAATAAGCTGATAGGTCGAACGATTGCCAATGGGAGTAAGAGGCAACCGATTAAGTAGATAGGCCGCAGTTAAGACACACTCTCTCCAAAAGGTCACCGGGATATTGGCATGAAAGAGGATAACACGAGTTGTGTCCAACAAATGGCGATGTTTCCGTTTGACCACACCATTTTGTTGCGGAGTGTCGGTGCAAGAAGTCTGCAGAATAATACCGGAATTCTCATAAAAGTCCCGTAACTCAGAAGTGGCAAATTCCAGACCATTATCTGCCTGGATACGATGAAACTGCTTGTGAAATTGAGCTTGCACTATGTGATAGAAATAAAGTAAGTGGCGACTAACTTCTGACTTAAACTTCATCAAGAACACCCAAACAACACGACTATAATCATCCACTTGTACATGGGCGTTGGGCCGTGCTTGGGCCGGCACGACACAGACATGCTTCAATCCCATTTATTTCATGTCGTGCAAACCCATTTGTTACTTTTGCTAGGCCCAGCCCGGGCCCGGGCATGTGCACGGGCACGGTTTGAATCCTGTCGTGCCTACTTGTGCTTGTGTGATGCTCATATTTGTGTTTAACGAAAATGAAGAAAATAAATGAGGAATGAAAAAGAAGGAGAAAATTGAACGAAGAATGAAAGTATTAATCGAAAATTTTTGAGTAACGTAACAACAAAGGGAAAAAGAAAATTGGAAGTATAACGAGTGTGAAGTTTCTTTGTTTAATTCTTCGTTCGTTTTTTGTTATGGTAGTAATTACGTATATATCTTAATGATCACTTCTAACAACAATAAATAATTATTTTTGTACTTATGTTTGTAATATTTGAGCCTATTATTCTTTATATATTTATTTTTTATCAAATTAATATTCTTTTTGTACTATGTCCATTCTTATACTCAACAAGGTTTGAAAATATTAGGCTCGCCACGACCCATTTACATACCGTGCCGTGCCTGTGCTCGTGCCCATGAAATTTATGACCGACACGGCGGATAAAGAATTCTTGCTCGTGCCGGACTGGCCCATATATTTCATGCCCGTGCTCGTGCCGGGCTCTAACTGTACCGTGCCGTGCAAGCCCGTGGGCGGCCCGGCCCGGTGCCCACTTACACATTTAGTATAGTCAGGAAATAACGACCTCCAGTGATAGAAGGGGTTTGATAACCACCTCAAATATCAGCATGTATCAGCTCAAAACAATCTGTAGTAGTGATCGAACTAGAAGGAAAAAAATCACGAGTCTTTTTAGCACGAAGAAAACAGGAAAAACAAGAGTTCCTTTACTGAACAATGGGACTCAAAATATATTTCTGAAGGATAGATAGCTTTGGCATGGAAGGATGACCCAAGCGCGTATGCCACAATGTGGAACTGTCTACAGCGTGACGAACTGAATGTGCCACCGGATGCCGTCCATCAAAAAGCTGCAGATAATACAATCCGTCGACGTGCTTACCCACCCCAATCATCCTTTTGGATGGTAAGTCCTGAATAACACAAAAGTCTTTTAAGAAAATCAAAGCCGCTGGAAGATCCGTTGTAAGACGACGAACAAACAACAAATTACACTAAAATTCTGGGACATGCAGAAAGCGGCGAAGAAACAGATCACTAGACAACTGCGTAGAATCAATACGATGAACCGATACACCAGTACCATTCAAGATACGAACTTGTAAAGCTAGGGGACTCTCTAGCTCATTAAGTAACAAAGAGTGATCATTAACAATATGTTCATTACACGCAAAATCGATAACCCATGAAGTACTAGGAGTAAGAACATTACCTACCATGTTGGAGATCGGGTAAGCGGAAGACTGAGTGGATGAGAGAATGTCAAAGCCAAGGAGCTTTTTTAATTGGGTGAACTGAGCTGGGGACAAGCTGGGAAAGGGCTGGACTCAACGTCAACCGCGGAGGCCTGTGGAGTGGAACGGTGACCGCGATCAGGCCTCTCCTCCTGTCGACGACGTGGCGCTGGATCACCGCTGGCTGGAGAATGTGAGGGGTAACCGTGCAATTTGTAGCACGTCTCCTTAAAATGTCACGTCTTCTGCCAGTGTGTGCAAACGGGAACGGCCATGGGCATAAAGTGGACGAGAATCTTGCTCCCGCTCCCCCTGTCGAGAAGCAGAATATGGCTTCTTCTCCCCATGAGCCTGGAACACGACTACTTCAACACGGGGGCGACGAGAACTAGAAATATGACGCTGCTATTCGTCATTCATGACCAGATGGTAAGCCTTGACAAGACTGGGGATCGACTTCATTGCAAGGATTTGAATTTTGACCGTGCTAAAAGCATCATTGAGGCCCATAATAAAATCGAAGAGTCTTTCCCTCTCCTTGACTTCACGTTGCCTGCGTTTGACATCACAAGTACAACCACCACAAGTACACTCTAAAGAAGGAGCGAGATAACTAATTTCATCCCACAAACCTCGCAATTTGGTGTAAAAAGAAGCAACAGAGGCCTTCTCCTATTGTAGTAGGTTGATGGTGCACTTCAACTCGTACATACGCGAGGTGCTGCCATGACCAAAACTCGACTGGATGTTGACCCACATCTCCCGAGCGGTGATAGAAAAACGTACTCTACTATGGACGTCCTTCGGCATGGCCGTTTTGAGCCATCCTTTGACCATGGCATTGACTTGCTTCCAGGCATCATAGGCTGCACCTCCATCGGTCGGTGCAGATATCGAGCCATCAACGAAGCCAAGTTTATTCTCGACAATAAATGAATCCGTGATGTCACCGACCCACTCTCCATAATTGGCTTCCGTGAGAAGATCGCCTACAAAGAGTTTGTTGGGACTGTCAGATTGATGGATGATGAAGGGAGATGGAAGCTGCGTGACACCGCTAGGGCTCGCGCCACTTTTGGCCGAGATGTTGAGGATTTCATATTCCTTTTCACTCATGACGAAACAAAAGTTGTGGATCGGTTCACAGATCTAATACCATGTGATAAACCAACTGGTCCCAATAACTCGAGTTGTTGAGAGAGGTACATGTATGGTACTTAAACACTTACCTTACACATTTTGAGGGGGAAATTGTGGTGTATAAATTGGTGGGGGGTGTAACTAGAAGGAGAAACTACTGTTTGGAATGAAAAAGTAGGTATTGCAAATATGAGGGGGACCAACTCAAGGGAGGTTCTCCAGTTGCACAACTTGAGGTAGTCGGAAGCAAGGACATTGTTAATGAGAAGGGTGAAGGAGTGATGACTGACCATGGGACAACACTGTTAGTCACTTTATCTATGATGGTGGGATCAAATGTGATTTCATTTTAATGCCCAGGCACTAATCTTGATGATAAGTTTCAGGAGGTTGCTGGTTGTAGCTCTCCTGTGTTACCTTCAGAAGCAGATTTTCAAAGGGTAGTTAATGGGGGTAAACAATGGGTTTGGTCACCAATTCCCAGTCCCACAAGTGTGCTCAATATGTCTCATTCTTTTGAAGTGTTTAACAAGTATAATGAAGATGAGGTAGCTATAATGTAGATGTAGTAGCTATTCTAGAAACAAGAATAAGAGAGCATAAATAAGAGGAACTGGCCGAGGGTTTTTGTCATGACTGGCAGAAGCACTTAAACTATGTGTATAGTGACTCGGGGAGACTATGGATATACTGGAATCCTGACAAGGTTAATGTGAGAATTATGGTACCTAGCAAAAAATTTGTGCATTTTTTGGTTCAGAGTAGAGAGGGGGAGTCTTGATTTATAACGAGAGAATATGGATCCAATGAGGAAGCAGAACGTCAAGCTACATATCACGAGATGACTCCTTTAAAGATGACCACAGTGCCTTGAATTGTAGTTGGTGACTTTAATGCAGTTCTTAGTCCTTCTGACACATCAAACTTAACTGATACGACCATTTGTTTGAGTGATTTCAATCGGTGGGTCTCAGCTATGGAGTTATTTGATCATAGGTCTCCAGGGCCACTCTTTACCTGGACAAATAGGCAGGTGAGGAATCCCATTGCAAGACGACTTGATAGAGCATTGGTAAATGAGAAGTGGTTTGATATGTTTCCCAATTGTATAGTGGAAATCATTAATGGTACTTTTTTTTATCATTGTGGAGTCCTGGTGTCTACCAAACCAGATCAGGGGACCTTTCCTAAGCCTTTCAAATACTTTGATTTTTGGTCAGAGCATCCAGACTTCCTGCAGATTGTTAAGATTGGATGGGATACTCAGATTCAAGGGGTGCCTATTCAGGTGGTTAAAGCCAGATTAAACGAGGTGAAAAAGGGCTAAAACAATTAAATAATGAGGTGTTTTCAGACATTATTGGTCAAGTCTTGGAAGCTAAGAGGCTTTTCCTAGCTGCTCAACAGGTGGCTCTAAATTGTCCTTCTACTGAGAATTTTCTTGAAGTCACTACTATGCGGAAGAAATGGGAGGAATTGAAAACGGTTGAGAAAGGTTTGTACTAGAGGAAAGCTCGAATCAGGTCACTCACAATGGGGAATAGAGGTACAAGATATTTTCACCAATTAGTTAAAGTAAAGACGGCAAAGAAAGCTATTCGGAAGCTTGTTCTAGATTTTGGAGAGGAGATTACTGATGTTAAATTGATAGCTGAGGAAGCAGTCTCATTCCATTAGATATTGTTTGGAAAAGTGGATCAGGCTGTTAATCCTAACAAGCAGGAGTTGGAGGCTCTTATTTCCAAATCTTTATCATAAGAGGATAAGTCAATGTTGTGTGGGGGATTTACCTCTGAGGATGTCAAATTAGTGATTATGCATATGAATCCACATAGAGTCCCTGGTTCTGATGGCTATTCAGCTGGGTTCTTCCAGAAGGCCTGGTCTATCGTTAGAGTGGACATCACCGCAGCAGTTCTGGACTTCTTTTCTTCTGGTAGGCTTCCAAGTAGTGTTAATTCTACTACAATCTCTCTCATCCCTAAGGTACCTTCTGCTTGTAAGCTCAAAGACTTCCGCCTAATATCCTGTGTCAACATTCTCTATAAAATCATTGCAAAACTGTTGTCAAATAGACTTAAGAAGGTGCTTGCAACTATGATTAGTAGTAATCAGTCGGCTTTTATCGAAGGAAGAAGAATAGTGGATAATATCCGTATGGCTCAAGAATTAGTCAGTGGTTATAGTAGAATGAATCTCTCCTCCCACTGTGCTATAAAAATTGACCCGATGAAGGCTTTTGACTCGGAAAACTGGGATTATCTATTCTTAATGATGGAAGTTATGGGATTCCCGCCTAAGTTTTTGTATTGGATAAAACTTTGTGTTAAAACTTCTCGTTTTAGTATTTGTGTCAATGGAGGCCTTTGTGGATTCTTTGGGGCAAAGAGGGGGGTGAGGGAGGGGGATCCCCTCTCTCCCTACCTGTTTACTATTGGAATGGAGGGTCTATCTTCCTTACTTAAATAGAGCTGGAAAGAATAAGTATACTTAATACTTTTTGCACTATCATCCATAGTGCAAAAATATAGGGTTGACTCGCCTATGCTTTGCAGATGACCTTCTCATTTTTACAGAAGGGTCTGCGCAAGCAATATGTAGAGTACAAGAGCTTTTAAATGAGTTCTATATCCTTTCAGGACTTAAGTGTAACCCAAGCAAATGTGAAGTGTACTTTGGGGGGCAGTCTGTTCTCTTCAAGAGTAATGCTTTGCAGATGTCTGGATTCCAAGAGGGAAAAATACCAGTAAGATACTTGGGGCTTCCATTATTCTCTGGGAAGCTTTCTTCTACTGACTGTGATAAGGTGGTGGCAAAGATCACTAAAAAAATTGGAACCTGGCATGCCAAACAACTGAGTTATGCAGGTAGGCTTGAACTAATCACCTCTGTTATCATGGGGCTACTATAGTATTGGATGCAAGTCTTCCTTTTGCCTAAGAAAGTACTAAAGCGAGTGTATACTGTTTGCTCGAACTTTCTTTTGCATGGGGGAATGAGGGTAGAGCAAAAATTGGCTGGGATCGATTAGCTCGACCGAGAGTGGAAGGAGGTCTAGGGATAAAAGATCTTTTAGCTTGGAATAGGGACTGCTCCATCAGAATGATTTGGCTATTAATGATGAAAAGTGGGACTATTTGGTGGCCTGGTGTGGTGTTGCAAGGTGAAACAAAGGTAGCATTTGGATTATGAGTGTTAGTCCCAGTAGCTCGTGGGCATGGATAAGGGTTCTAAAGCTCAGACCTTTGCTTCTAGCTCACCTGACGATCTCTGGTGCAACTCCTAGTTGGGATGGCAAGTTGATGCCTGTATGTAAAGTGTCTACTATTTGAAACACTTTGCGAACTGAATACCAGAAGGTGGATTGAGCAGGTCTGGTTTGGGGAAAAGGCCATCTACCTAACAATAGTTTTCTTGTGTGGCTTGTCTTGCTACATGGCATCATCACTCGAGATAAACTGTTAAAGTGGTGTAAGATAACAGATGGAGCTTGTTTGCTTTGCCAATGATCTGTTGAAACCAGAGAACATTTGTTTTTTTCAGTGTGCTTACTCAATGCAGGTGGTTTCTTGTTGGAAGGATGCCCATCAGTTCTGCAGATCAAGTTGGCAGGAAAATGTGAATGCTGATGTTGCTTTAAGTAACAGGAAGACTCTCTCAGGGAGAGTTGCAGGGGTATTCTGGTGTGCGCGCATAGCTTATTTGTGGGTGAGAGGTGCAACAGGCAACATCACATACCTCCTAGGGATGCTGCTAGTATCGGTCGTTTGATCATTTCTGATTTAATGTATATGGATAGCGTGGGTGGTGGTTTGCAAGCAGATCTTAGTGCAACTGGTTTTATGAGTTGAGTTGTGTCCATTGTAGGAATCTGGGGGGTTTTTGGGAGTTTCAGTGTTCAATGGGGCTGCTCACATCGAGCTTCCCTTTCGTTGTATCGGTTCCTATATGTACATTGCATATAAATTTGGTAATACAAAAGCAACTGATTCAACGAAAAAAAGTAAATAAATTATATTACTATAAATAGATTTATCAAATTTATAAAAATTATCCCTAAATAATAAACTAAAAACTTTATACTATAATCATAAATATTAATAAATATTCTTTAATAAACAAAATTATTCATATAGTAATGCTTAAATATTAATTAATTATAACAATTGTAATTAATATCGATCAAGAAAGTTCGAAGCTCGAAGCCAATCCGTGGCCAAGACATATAGTTAGCTCATGCCTCCTGTTTGAGTATTGATTTGTTGACATGGTGATCTTCATCTGACTATACGAACATTGATAAACTTGTTCCGGAATCAAACAGTGACCTCCAAACAATGTTTACATTAATAATAATAAATATAATAATAATTGTAAACTCTAAAACAATTAAAAATAATATATCATAATCTTTCTCATTCCACTCCTCCTCCCCCTCTCCTTCTTTCCCTTGCAATTCAATTTGGGATAAAACAGTAAATTTGAACCTACGTTTTGCACCTTACAGTTACGAAATTAACCAAATGGGTGCAAATGCATTAAAACCCAAATTTGCTTCCCTCCCATTTACACCTCTTCCCAAAAATAATATTAATAATAATATGAAAATAAAAATTTTAGGCCTCGTTTGCTTGAAGGCTTTCATGATGGATTTGGTACATAAAACCCTACCTCCATGAATTTTGTACACAATCCATTATTTGCTTGATGAATTTGGGAGGGATAAATCCGTGGAGTCTACAGACTTTGAGGGACCGAATCCATGGGACCCACAGATTTGGAAATTCCATTGCAAGAGGTGGGATTTGTGTTGGAGTACAAAGTCCATGATTACCTTTTACAATTTTATCCCCTTAGTTTACTAATGACCAACTTGTCCTCTTTCATTTACTAATGACCAACTTGTTGTGCCGATTAATTATGCATTCAATCTTCGTTATCATTCATTGCACAAGTTGTTGGAAGTACACTACATTATTAAACCCAAAGCATACTTTTCAACATTAAAAACCTTAGCATGTATAATGTGGAGTTGTTGGTGATTAATGAATTTAAGTTGTTAATTATGACGTTCATTTGTTCCAATTGTGGTAGTGGGATAAAACTATGGGATGTATATTTGTTTATAACAAAAATTGCAAATGTAAAAATAAATAATGCTTAATAAGGGCAATTAGGTAAATTTCTAATACAACCAAAAATATAATTATGTCAAATCCATCATGAAATCCAACAAGTAAACGATGATTTTTACCAAAAACCAAATGGAGCAATTCCATCACAAATCCATAATTTATAAAATCCAAACCAAAACCTTCATTTTTCATATTAGTTAATCATAGGGATGGCAATCAAACCCATGCCCACGGGTATCCGACCGCCCCCGACTCAGTCAACGCGGAGAATCCCCGCATTGATCGGTATGGGGCGGGTATGGTTTTAGCCTCCCCCGCCCCATACCGGCCCCACCAATAATATTTCTTCATATATGAAAAATATGTGAATCATTTTGTAACCTATCAATAATAGTGAGGATAACTCAAGAAAAATATATAGTAGAAATGCAATTGAGTGATCACTCAAATCAAAATATAATTTTTTTTCTCTCAATTTTCCCTTCACTCTATCACTTTTTCCCCCTGTTAAGAAGATTATGTTAGTTAATTATTACTTAATAGATGTATCAGAGTAGAGAATAATGATTTGGATGACTTTGTACTGTACTCTGATATGGATTAATGCTTTAGGATAAGATGCTTTGAATCGTATTAAAAATGATTGTCTCCTTGTCGACTTCATGATATAGTATGTGCGTTTAATGTTATAATTGAAAATCTACATGTAAAATATTCGATATTATAATGCTGGATGTACGTGGCGGATATTACCCATGGGTACCCGAAACCCATGGATATAAGGCGGTATGGGTATCGATATTTGAAAACGGGAATAGGGATGGTTTAGGCAAACCCACCCAAACCTGCCCATTGCCATCCCTAGTTAATCACATTTCATACATACACATATTAAACTATTTTTTTGCTAACTATGGGGGCCACCTCACAAATTTCATAAGTCTACCCATATAAAAAAGTTAATAAATAAGATGACAAAGGATCATAATTAGGGCTGGAAGTTTGGTACCGATATTTAGGATACACCGAATATCGTACAAAATTTGTCTATATTTGGTATTATTGAATACACACATTATTTTGTGGGATTGGGATTGGGATTGAGTTTCAATTGTTATTCGGTATTATGGATTACGGGATTGGATCGGTATATACCGAAATACCTATCAATACCGAAATATAAGCTAGTGTGTATTTTTATCTTCTCAACTAGACTCTCTCATTCACTACTACAAGACCCTCAACCACCAAGAGTGTCATTTAATTATACATAGATCATTACATCACTATTTCACACTAGTATTAGTCGTCTCTCAACCTCAAATTTATCAAATTAAAGATTACCAATTACAAAAACTTGAGATGTTAGCTCTAGGCAACTTAAGACTCTTGGTTAGTCTCTTTGCCCTAAATTAAACAACAAAATCTAATTTATATATTTAATTATTAATGGTAAACGTAATTAATTTTGTATTTGATAATACCGATTGGAATACCGAGGTACAGATTGGGATACCGAAATAATTAGGAATTGAGATTGGGATACTGAAATTATTTAGGGATTGAAATTGGAATTGATTCCAGGGTGTAATTCAGTATTCGGGATTTCGATATTTGGTATTGGGATACCGATAACATACCAATTTCCACTCCTATTCATAATTATCTAAAAGTATAAAAAGTTCGATTATCTTATTTTAATTTGAAATTTTTTTACATTAGTTTTTTTTTTTTACATTAGTTTTTTACCCATTTGTATTCAGAAAAACGCCATTGCAACCGTCGTTTCCAGATCAAGTTGACAAAGATATGGACTCTCCACCAGTATTGAAGACAGCCAGTGAGGAAATGGACTGAAGGGGCGAATTTTGCCGGCGATGTCAAGAAGAAGCTGAGCAGGAAAAAGGTGCTCCTAAAAGTTCTAGTTCAATCTGTCAATTCTGTGGCTGCTATCTCGTTGTCGTTTTCCTAATTACTAATTAGCGATTAAGATCGCTGCCATCAAATGGTTGGTTGGCCGTTGGGGCCAGCAATTGTCCACGCCAGCCGCGAGAACTTTACCCTTTCCTTATCTCTCCGCTTCCATTCTCCGATCGCTCTTCTCAGACTCTGGTTGGCTAGCGCCATTGTTTATTCTTGCAGCTTCTCCCTAAGAATGGCATCTATGGCTAAGACACATTGTTCCATTCCCTCTCTCCTCCCCTCTCTCAACATACCCAGAACTTCATCTTCTCAAAATCTCCCAATTCTCTCCACTTCATTTCACTCTCAATTTTGCGGGCTTAAGTTCTCAAATCCCGCCACTGCCACTGCTCCTGCTCCTTATCGTTCTTCTTTCAGGACTTCGATTGTTGCCAAGGTGCATGCATTATGATCTGCTCCTTTCTACTTACTTGCATGATGGTGCATTTGTGCGCTTTTCTGAAAATTTCTTTTGTGGGTTTTGATTTCTGAGGTCAGGTGAACAAAGGGCAGGTGCCACCGACCTTCACATTGAAAGATCAGGATGGCAAGGTTGTGAGCCTTGCCAAGTATAAGGGCAAGCCTGTTGTTGTCTATTTCTATCCTGCCGATGAAACCCCTGGCTGTACTAAACAGGTACCCTTTCCTTCTTCCCTTTTATGTCCTTTCTGTTTGTCCTAATAAAATGTATAGGAGAAAGGGAAGGTCAATATGCAGTAGTGGTACTGATTGTGGAACACAATGTCACTTGTAGAAATGCTACTTCCCCCCTGTTTATTACTTGAAGAGGCCTATTTGTTTAGTTAATGATGGATGGTATTAGTCCAACTCTTTTATCAGTGAACTCCACAAACAAAGAGAAAAACAGCTAGGAACAGCAATGGTATTGGAAGGGGGTTTAGGGGAAGAGAATGACACAAGATTGATGTTTCACTCAGTCTCTGCAATCACTATAATTGTTGGAATTGATTAGGTTTTGACATGGTATCATAGCATTTGACCAAGAGGTCCCATCACCCATGTCCGAATTTTCACGATTCCCCTATAAGAACAATTGATTGAAGCAAAAGGTACTTCAAGCTCATAAGTCAGTTTTTGTTTGGTATAAGGTTCATCCTCCGCCTTCTCCCAACCGTGAGTTAATAGGCAATTGGTTCTTGAAATTTCAGTCTGACCATGAATCCATGATCCTTTCCTTTTTCTGTTACGGTTCGTGATTTTACAGAGACTTTGTTTTGCAGGCATGTGCCTTTAGGGACTCATATGAGAAGTTTAAGAAAGCAGGAGCTGAGGTTGTCGGGATCAGTGGCGATGATTCATCTTCACACAAGGTATCAACTCTCAGGCTTTTTTACACTTCTGCTGATAGTTTGGCATACAATTAATGCATTTGATATGGGAGAAAGCTTTGTATGAAGTTTTCCCAAATCAGTACCTCCAAAATCAAAATGTTGGAGCACTTATTTTTGTATGCCAAATTAATCTATGAAGGGAGAGAACCTTTGGTATTATGTAGCTACGGTCTCAGTGTCAGTGCTGATCTTTGCTTTGTTCTCTCTTGCCTCTTCTTACCATTCTTTTCTTTTCTGTAGTCATTTGCTAAGAAGTATAGGTTGCCTTTTACATTGCTGAGCGATGAGGGTAACAAAATAAGGAAAGAATGGGGAGTTCCTTCAGATCTTTTTGGAGCTTTACCGGGGAGACAGACGTATGTTCTTGACAAGAAGGGAGTGGTGCAGCTCATCTACAACAACCAGTTCCAACCAGAGAAGCACATTGATGAAACCCTCAAGCTGCTTCAGAGTCTTTGACTCTAGTCTCTCCCACTTCTTCTCTCTCAGTTTTCTCACCACACCTAAAAAAATGCTCTCATTTTTGTAAGAATGTACTGCTGCTACTGGCTAATGGTCGCTTTCAGTACTTGTAAAAAATAATAAGAATTAAGAGGTAATGGTTGCTTCTCGTTAATTTTCAAAAACTGTCCAAACATTGTATGGTACTGTCTGCACTGCTCTTTTGAGATCCTTCACTCTCTCTTGGTATCATGCAAGATGTTTTTTTGTACCAATTTGCCCGATTTTATACATGGAAGTTTTTGGATGGAAATTTAATTTTTTAAAAAGTTTTTTGAGTAGGGACGGCAAAAATATCTGTAACCGTGGATATCCACCCGAACCCGGCCTAATCGGGTAGGGTAAAACCCGAACTCGAAAGGACATTTAGTGGGTACGGGTAAAACCCGAACCCGAATATTGCGGGTAATGGGTGGGCATGGGTTTCTCAGTATCCAACCCGAACCCGCCCGATTATACACATACATATGTATTTTGTCTAGAAATAGTCATTATTTTTCTCTAACATATTTTATATTTAGCATATAAATATAATATTTTCATGAAATTGTGTTGTTTTAATTAATTTTCTTCATTCTAGTGAATTATTGTCATACTTTTCCTCTTGCGTAATGTGAGAATACGTGTGAATGTTAACATATTAGTTAGAGTTATGAAGAGAAATCATTACCCATGGATAACCGTGGATACCCGAAACCCGAACGGGTATGGGCATGGTTTTAATTTTCTACCCGTTTTATATGTGGGTATGGGTAAAACCCGAACTACTTTGGGTAGGGTAACGGATATGCACTATCCGTCCCAGACCCGATCCATTGCCATCCCTATTTTTGAGTTCAAAACGCGATTTTTCCTATATTGACAACAAAACTAAAGAGGAATCCTATATTTAATAATGAATCTCGAGGTTTAATACCAATTTGATCAAATTATAGTCAAAATTCGAGGGAATAACAAGGAGGAGAAAACATTTACTTTTTTCAATAGCTATGAATACCCTAGCGAAATAAGGTAATTCGACTATAATATTGGCTTCTGAAGCTAAACATACTTGCTAATTTGATGCAAGGGGATGACGAATCTTTAATACAAGTGTGTAGTGTGGGTGAGTTACATTGCCTTTTGATCACATTGACAACCGTGTTTGAATTTGTCTACAAAACAATCTTCCTAGTTGTTTGCTTTCAGACAACCTTGAGATCATGTAGGATACTAGAAAATTATGAACATGTATTAGAATTTCTCATACCAGGCCCCATAGTTGCCGCCAAATAGTATGCCAGACCACCACTAAAGAAGAGGGAGGAGAGGCGAGGGCGCTAATGTTGCCGTGCAGGGCACCGACGGGGTTAATGGAGGAGGTGCATATGCTAAGGGAGATGAGGGTGGGATATTGTTTGGGTTCATAGTTGAACGGTATTGAGCTTTATAGCCCAAGGAAAGCGAACATGCCCGGCCCAGGGGGAAGGCCCAGGAGTAGCCCGGTCTCAAGCAATGAAGTAGGTTAGGCGGTCACCCTAGAGACAAGACAGGAATAGATCGCCTGACATAGAGCACTGGTGGTGATAAGAGGAAGAGATCCTCTATGATACTTACCTCGAGCAAGCAGGACTAAACATTAATTAGCTGCCGTATGCGGCCTATAGTAGGGCAGTACAAGATTAGGGCGCCTGACAGAGCATTCAATGCTCTAAACTCCACCTAACCGAGTATAAATACCTCCACGCTAGCATTGATGTTAACTCAACTACTTCCATTCTCTCTAAACATAACACATTGATAGACCGTTAATTGCACATATTTTTACCTCCATTCTTGAGCCGTTTGAGATGTTGATTCTCGTGTTTTAAGCCGATTTCACGCTAGGTTGTGTGTTTATGTCACATTTCAGGATTTGGCATTGACGTGGAGGCGAGGAACCGAGTTTCGGGTCAAAAGGAGACTGTTGGAGTAAAAGGGAGTTGGAGGAGAAAAATACCCGGCCGGGTAAAAGGCAAGGAGAGGCCGGGGAAAAGCTGAAATCCCAGGAGGGGTCCCGGCCGGAATGCTTAAATCCCTGATCGGGTATTCTTGACCTCGATCGGGGATTAATCCTCTGCCAACGCGGTGCGTTTAAAAAATCACCAGCCGGGCACCTAAAATATCCGACCGGGGATTCTGACTAGGGGTCGCGAATGACAGGTTCTTAAGGGGAAAGAAGGGGAAATTTGGGGGGTTCCGAGTTTTAGAGAAAGAAAGTGATACCTAGAGAGAGAGAGAGAGAGCGACGAACGAGAGTTCCCAAGCGCCTTAGATCGATCTTCATCATCAGTGGAGCTCGGATAACGCTTGGAGAAGTGCCGATTGCCGACCAGAAGCAGAACCCCATTCTTCACAACATGATTTCTGCTTCTGAGCTAGAGTTTGCTTCTCTCTCCATGGAGTAACTTCCACATTCACCTGGGTATGAAGAACCCTAGATGTGTATGTTAGGTCTAATTGTATGAACCTAAGTATGAATCCATTGATTTGATTATATTCAATTGAGGTCTGATTTGTTGAATGGCATGAATCCTGATCAAATTCCTGTTGTTTCTGCTTTGACCTAGAAAGAGAATATCTGCCTAGGTTGATAGAGCACCCTTGATTGAAGGTAGTGAATTGACGAATTTAGTCGAGGAGTCGATTCACTATCCTGTACCAGATTTACTTCGGTAGTAGTAGTTTGGTTCGTTAAGGCCTCAATCTGTTTACTCCGGTGGAGGTTAGTCGCCCGCTAGGGACTCAGATTGAGAGGGTCCGGAGACCTTTAGTCGAGACTGCAGACTGCATAAGAACCTCCCGCAGTATAATTATCTTTGAATTCGAACTTGGTAAATTACAATCTGGCTTAACTGCAGTCTAGGGGAAACCATATCCGGGTGACCTCTCTCAACTTGAAAACAACCTCTTACTGCTTTGCTTGCTTGTTTGTTTGGACCTTCACTACACTTTCACTGCTAAATAATCAGAATTCACGGAGTAGTCATCACACTTAGGACCCGGGTTGACATTAAAACCCAAACCCGCTATACTATGCTCTAGTAGGTCGTTACACTTGGCCATTTTCTAGTGTGACGGTAGGGGCGAGTCAAGTTTTTGGCGCCGTTGTCGGGGACGGCCATGTTGTTGAAGAAACGTGATTTCTGTTACTTTGGCATTTCCATTTTCGCATTGACTGTTTGTTTTTTTTTCCCACTTGTGCCTTCACGGGTTTGCTTGCTTGGCTGTGTGCAGGTAGTGCATGACCCGTAGCCAGTCGGGAGGTTTACTGCCGTTAGATCCGGAGCTTGAACGCACCTGTCACCAATTAAGGAGACAACAGCGAGCTAGACTGGCTACGGAGGAGCGCATTGACGGCCACTTGAGTAGCGATTCTAAGGAAGAGTACGAGATGGATGGTGCACAACACCCACCCCAGGGGATGCCTCTCCAGGTTCCCCTAGTGAATCAGGTTCTGGGGAACAACCCAGTACCCCAGGCAGATGGGGTTCAGCACCAACCACCGCCACCGGGTCCTACCATGGAGTATTACTACACTCCACGGGTCGCTGACATTCACACTGTCATCCTCTATTCGCCCATTCCAGCGAACAACTTCGAGATCAAGCCATGTTGGATTTAACTGATTACATCCTCTATCCAGTTCCATGGTTTGAAGGATGAGGAGGCAAGAGTGCATCTTTCCCAGTTCCTGCAGCTGACAAACGGGTTCAAGATGAATGGTGTACCCGATGATGCGATCTATCTTCACCTCTTCCCCCATTCTCTGGCGGGGCATGCGAAGAGGTGGTTAGAGACCCAGCCCCCACTATCCATCACATCATGGGACGATCTGGCTGACAAGTTCGTGCACAGGTATTACCCGACATTGAAGACTACAGAGATACAGCGGGAGATTACTCATTTCCGCCACGAGCCACATGAGCCTCTTCGTGATGCCTGGGAGCGGTACTCACAGTTCTTCTGGAAATGTCCCCATCATGGTTTCAGTGATGCATTCACGGTGGGGAATTTCTACAGCGCTATGACCCCAGAGAGTCAGGGTGATCGAGTCTCTATGCCCAGGAGGGGATATTCTCACCAAGACTCAACCCGAACTGAACCAGATGATCATTACCTTGGCTGCTAGGGATCACTCATGGGGGCAGAGCACCAGAAGCAGGAGTTCCCGGGATCATGGTGTGCACGCCATGGAGGCCAGGTCCGGGCTAGGGCGGGAGGTGGCTGAGTTGGTGCAGACATTGAAGCAGCCCAACAGTCTTAATCCGGGCAGAGGTCTGGCTGGACCTCCAGTTGCTTAGTGCCAGTGCTGTGAGAGCTTGAACCATCTGGTGGAAGACTGCCAGGCCATGCAGGAGTCTTCTACACCCCAGGAGCAGTTGGACTTCATCGCCAATGCTCGACGCCTCGACCCTTACAGTGGTACATATAATGAAGGTTGGCGCCAGCATCCCAACTTCTCCTGGAATACCAGCAACACCACTAAACCACCTAGTTTCCCAGCACCAGTAGGTGGTTTTCAGCAGCGGCAGCCCTTCCAGGCCAGGTAGGGCCCAGCTACACAGCAGCAGTCGTATCAGCCCAGACAGGGGCAGCCATTCCAGCAGCCACAGTGCCCGTATGCCCAGCCGCCAGTAGCTCTAGCTCCAGATACCCAGATGACGGAGCTGAAAATATTTTGCAGGCATTTATGACTACCAGTCAGGCAAATTTCGCTAGGATGGATCAGAGCATAACTTCTCTAGAGGTAGGCCAAATGAACCAGGGTGCTACACTCCAGGATCTCCAGAACCAGATTGGTGGCATTGCTCGCCAAAATAACACAAGAGCATCAGGGACTTTGCCTGCCACCACCATACCAAATCCTCGCGAGCCTCACCAGCAGTTGGATGCCATCACTACCAGGAGTGGCAAGACCACATTTGCTGCTCCTACCCAGGCCAAGCAAGAAGAGCCACTACCTGCTTCAACACTTCCAGCTGACGATGCAGAAGTGGGGATGGAGAAAGAAGCACCTGCTCACAAGCCACATCTAGTGGTTAAGGAGCATGTACCCCAGCTTCCCTTCCCCACTCGCCTACACAAAGACAAGCTGGAGACTGAGTTTGCCAAGTTCATGGCAATGTTGAAGCAGGTCAACATCAGCATGCCGTTCGTGGAGGCACTGCCGAAGATGCCCAAGTACGCTAAATTTATGAATGACCTCCTCACCAATAAGAAGAAACTTGGGGATCTTTCGACAGTGATGATGAGCGAGGAGTGTTTTGCTATCCTGCATAACAAGCTGCCCGAGAAGCGCAAAGACCCAGGGAGTTTTACTATCCCTCTTGTTATTAGCAACATGCATGTAGGAAAGTCCTTGGCAGACCTAGGCGCTAGCATTAACGTCGCCCTACAAATTGTTTAAAAAGCTAGACCTAGGTGAACCTAGAGCTACTAGGATGAGCATTCAGTTAGCTGACCGTTCCATTGTGCATCCTAGGCGTATCATAAAGCATCTGCTTGTTAATGTAGGTGCATTCACATATCCTGTTGATTTTGTTATTCTGGATATAAATGAGGATGTGGATGTGCCTTTGATTTTGGGTAGACCGTTTCTCGCCACCGCCAAGGCGCTTATTGATGTGCATAGTGGTAAATTGATCTTGCGTGCTGGGGATGACATGCTACTTTTTCTGTGTCTGAGAATGGTAAACACTCCCATTTGCATGATGACTTAGATTACTGTGATGTGCTTGCTGATTTTGAGACCGCACTCGCTATAACGAGTGCGGGTACTGACGATGCTCTTGAGCGTTGTATTTTGCTATGTGAGCAAGCATCGCAGGAGCAACAGTTGGAGGAGCAATTGGCCGCGCTGGAGAGTGGCGCATTCCTGGAGGGCGACCGGCTGTTCAGACCGATCTCATCCTCACCCCACATCACTACCTCCTTGGAGGAACCACCAGAGCTGGAGCTAAAGCCCCTCCCTCCTCACTTGGAGTATGCATTTCTACGGGAGGGGAATAAGCTTCTAGTCATCATCAGCTCGACCCTCACACCCGAGCAGAAGGTTAGGCTGGTGGCCTTGCTGAAGCTGTACGAGCGAGCTCTAGCGTGGAAGATCACTGATATCTGGGGGATCAGCCCCTCTTATGCTCCCACCGGATACTGCTAGAGGATGAGATGCGGCCAGTGAGACAGCCACAGAGAAGACTGATACCGAACGTAGAGGCTGTGGTTTGGGCGGATATCGTAAAGCTGATGGATGCGGGGATCATCCTCGCCATTTTCGACAGTGAGTGGATCAGTCCCACCCAGGTGGTACCCAAAAAGGGTGGGATGACCGTGGTGCCTAACGAGAAGAAGGAGCTCATCCCGATGCGCACGGTGACTGGGTACCGTGTCTGCATAGATTATCGGCGTCTCAACGATGCCACTCGGAAGGACCACTTCCCGCCGCCATTCATTGATTAGATGCTGGAGAGACTAGCAGGGCACGAGTTCTACTGTTTCCTGGATGGGATGTCCGGGTATTTCCAGATCCCCATTGCACGGGAGGACCAGGTGAAGACCACTTTCACCTGCCCCTTTGACACATTTGCCTACCGGAGGATCCCATTCGCGCTT